GTTTTCGTCAACTGGAAGATACCACGGGGAACCAGCGACAGTCTGGTCACTTGGAGTTGTTCTGTTTCTGCTAGTTTTCTACAGATTTCCAGAACAAAGTGACTTGCCTAGAATGAACAACAGAAGGTTGAGGATTAAAGGCTTGTCAAGAGGTGAGATCTTCACTTAGGCTAAAGATGATTGTATAGGATAATTTGAATGTCATTTAAACAAGCATGTATAAACTCTTTCTTCTTTCTGCATAGACTGCTGCGATTTCTTCCACGGCTGTCTGCAGTTGGACCCAAAGGATCGGCTTGAACTGCAGAACCTCAGTTCCCATAAGTGGATTAGGGTATCGAATAGATTTTGACATTAGCCATCTTACACTGTCATAAGCCAGCTTTCATTTGACATTAGCCATCTTACACTGTCATAAGCCAGCTTTCATTTGACATTAGCCATCTTACACTGTCATAAGCCAGCTTTCATTTGACATTAGCCATCTTACACTGTCATAAGGCAGATTTCATTTGACATTAGCCATCTTACACTGTCATAAGGCAGATTTCATTTGACATTAGCCATCTTACACTGTCATAAGGCAGATTTTCATCTTAACATGACGTTAGTTAGGTGCATTTCTATCAAGTTGTTAGAGCAGATCACCCCCCAAGTTAGAGTTTATTCAGCAAATTAGTGTTTCCATCTCCCATTTTTTGCATAAGCACCACTTCTCTTACTCATTTCAACACAGACAAATGGAAACCAAACAAAATCTTATGTTCTTCCATTTTACATGTTATTTGTTACATCTATTCATGCTTTAAAATTGTCTCTGTTTATGTTTCAGACGAGAACAAGGAGGAATGAGGAGAACTGTCCTAATTTAACGGATGGATCTAGTCATTCCAATCACCCCATAACCTCCAATTAAATTCCTTGTAAATAAAAAAAAGAAATGATAAAACACTTAACAATTTGGACCTTTATATAGTGTATGTGCCTCTTCCTGCACTTTAACACCAGCTTTTGCACTAATTCTTGCACTTTTACATGCTAAAATAAAATGTATAATAAATTAATTAATAAAAAGATATATCTCAGTCGTTCCCAATCCAGGTCCATATATTTTTGGGTGTCTCTGTGAAAATGTAATTTGAGACAGATCAGAGAGACTTCTGGACCAATGATTACTGGGAACAACTGATATATATACAGGGTTTACAATTAACATTATCACTCACCATCCAATTTGGCCACAAAACTAGAAAACAAAATGTTAAAAATGTAATAATGAAATAAAAAAATTCATTAATATAAAACAATATAAGAAATAAAATAAAACAACTACAAAACCGTCTATATTGAAATATAAATCGATAACTGGCCATGTTATTGACCAATCAAAATTATTTTAGAAACAATGAAAAATCATTGATAAATAAATAAAACAATTAAAAAGTTCACCCAATAATTGAAGTTATGTTATTTATTACTCGTCCTCATGTTCATCTTCAGAACTATTTTAATCCAGACTCAAAGTTTGACTCAAACATCCTCAAGACAGACCATACGTCTTCACATAAAACAAACATTTGTATTGAGTTTCTTCTCCTCAGTGTCAGTATAGGGCACTCGTTCACAAGTACTGTGCAGTGACATATGCCCACGTGCGACTTCCTGTGTTAAAAAAAAATGCACAGATGCATTCAAGGTTACATGTCAGAGGTGTGACACTTGAAAACGAGCCCTATACTGACACTGAGAAACGAAATTGTTGAATAAAGGTATGTTTGTTTTATGTACACATAAACATATTCTCATAGTCAGGAACCTTGCTGTCTATGGAGGATTAAGAAACTCTCAGATTTCACTAAAATATCTTCATTATTTTCATTAAAATATCTTAATTTGTGTTCTGAAGATGAATAAAGTTACAATCTTTAGTGTTTGCTTTAATATACTTCTCATCAGCTTTAGTAACCATCTTTAGTCTAATCATTAATCATCATTTATTGACTAGTGATCTTATATGTAGGTGATATAGGTTATTTTATGGTGAGTGATAATCCAAACCCTGTATATATAGGTGGCGAGGTCCGTTCCTCCACGTGGTGCCACTGGAAACTGCCCATCGTAAAGATGGTGCTGAGCTGAACACGGACACAAACTGACATCAGGCTGGGCGACAAGCCTCACAACTGATGATAATTATTATGAATTTTGTACTAAATGTTGAAATAAAGTCACATTTTTACAAAAGATGTGTTTATTCTGTTTTTTTTAAGGTTGATTACTGTGAAAACATTTCAAGTGAGATCAGTCAGGCACAAAAAAGACAACATTTGTAGATTTAACAAAGATTAGTTGTGCTTAATGTTATTAAGCTGAATGTTTGATGTACAAGCATACATGTGGTGGAGTTTTTAGCAGTTGAGAACAAATGCACTGTAAGAAATGCTTGTCTTCCAGCTGCAACACCTATACACCCTCTCATTCAGACACACACATTCATTCACCATTTTAAATACAATTTTGTTTATTCAATTCACCTTATGTGTTTTGACTGTGTTCCCCCACAGTCCAAACGAATGCGATGAATTGAAGAAACGAAAAGGTATTCAAAATAGTGAATGAGAGAGTGTGTGAATGAGAGAGTGTATGGGTGTTAATCAATTCACCGCATGTGATTGGAAACCATGGGAAACCAGAGCACCAGGAGGAAACCCATGCGAACACGGAGAATAGATAAACTCCACTTAAGGACACAAACTCCACAGCCAGGACACGAACCTGCTTGCTGTGAGGCAAAAATGCTAGCTACTGTGTCACCCAGTTTACCTTATTGTTTTTACAAATTTTAGTGGATTAAACTTAAAACAATTAAGTTGTCCCAAAAATGTTTTGATTGATTGACAGGCTTTTTTGATTGATCTCAATAAAAGTATTCAAAACAGCATTAGGGTTGTCTCTACACACATACACAGAGCATTTCTGAGCCTGTATTAGCTGTGATAGAAAACATTGTGAGTAAAAAACCAAACAAACAAGAAGAGTTTTTTGTCCTTTTCATGGTTTCAGCTTGTAAAGTTGTGTCACGTTGTTTTTATTCATTTGAATGTCTTTTAAATCTTTTCATTGTCTTTTAAATCAATTTGATTTATTGGGTACTATTAAAACAGCTTCCACTTGTCATTTCACAGACTGTTTTTGATTAGAATTCAGAAGAATTGCAAACATTCACATCAACAGTCCCTTATTATCTTGGAAGTTGAATCTTTTTATTTATTTATTTAACTATTTTTGTCTTCTTAGGAAGAAAAATATAGATTTTTAAATTGTAAATATGTACAAACTTAGTACAAGAGAATACAACTCACAACAGTTATGAACAAAGTTAAAAAAAAAAAACTGAGAGAAAATATATAATTTATAGATAAACAGATGCCAGGGGTAAAATAATAAATAGGTAAGATAATAGTAATATTAAAAAAACATTTATTTAATCAAATAGGATTTACGTAATGCTTCATATGTATTTTTTTTTTTAGCTTTTCTCTTTATAATAGTGTAGTATATTGTTTAATCTCCTTTGTAAAATGTTCATTTGGCTTAGCTTTGGCCCATTTCCTGACATAAATATGATATTTTCCAGTAATATTATTAGTTGGATAAGAAAATAGGTTGTACTTTTTGAATCAATTCCATCTTGTAAAGCAAACATGACATCATATAATCCAATTTGTATTCATTTATTTTCTAGTCGGCTTAGTCCCTTAATTAATCCTGGGTTGCCACAGCGGAATGAACCTTCAATTCATCCAGCAAGTTTTTACGCAGCGGATGCCCCTTCCAGCCACAAACCATCTCTGGGAAACTAATTTGTATTAGTGTACCAAATGTCACTGAAATAAAGTTAGAAACATCAATCCAAAATAATCTTGAGAATACACATTGAATGAGTAACAGACTCTTAAACAATACCAAGAGCATCGCAAGAGTTTTCTCTATCCACTTCAAACCATTCAAATAACTCTTCTACAGGATAAATTCTGTGTACATTTTAAAAGATACCTGTCTTACTTCATTACTTATAAATAATTTATTTGTTGGTAACCATACTTTCTTCCACTCAATGTTTCCAAATGTTGATGACCAAAAGACTGTTGAAGATGATATATGATTCTTTTTTTAATACATTTCTAATATATCTGTTTCTACATTTATCTTTAATGTTAATATCACCAATAAATAAAACATCATCACTTGTCTTTTGCTGTTGGTCCACATAATATACAGAATTATGCAACAGTGATACAACTTTACTTTGTATTGCATAAAAAATAACAGCACATTCTTTTGGTTTTACAGGAACTTTTATTTTTTTAAGGAATTTTGAGTATGACAAAAGCAATCCATGTTCATCAGGTAATTGTCTGACTGTAAATATTCCATTGTCATACCACGATTAAATAAATATAGACTTCCTTTTGTACAAAATAACTCTATTATTCCATAGAAATTCAGATGTGGTGTAAAATTATGTTTATAGGTCAACTGCCATGCCAGCAATGCGTTCTTATGAAAACTTGCCAAATTAATTGGCCATTTATTAATAGAGAATTTTAAAAGTAAATGTATGCCACCCAAAGAGTTAAATATAAAATTTGGAAATATATGCCACAGAGTTTCTTTATTTTTGAATGTATTTAATTATCCATTTTATCTTAAATACCTCATTGAGATTTGTGAAATTTAACACTTCAAGGCTATTAAGGTTATTTAAAATATTTTTTTCTAAAACAGTGAGTCTTTTTCCGCCAAATAAAACCTTAGAGAGTTTTATCCAAATTCCTAAACAACATTTTTCAAAGTTTCCATTGACGTTAATGTGTATACAGACCTGGAAATTTCTTCTGAAAAATAATTAAACTAGACGCAGAAGCGTTGACGTTACTCGCGTTATTGCGTCATGAGCCGTAGCCAATCAGAGATGCCCTCTGGTGTTACGGATAAACAACTGCGGAAAGTTGAGCACCGATAGCGAACACGACAACAACAGCAAGGAACAAGTCAGTCATCGCTGCAAAAGTTGGATCATGAAGGAGGACAAAGAAAACACGCGTCCCAGAGAAAAGAAAGTTGAAATAAAATGCGATGAAAATGATAAGCAAGAGAAGCCCTGTAAAGAGAAGAAGGAGGCTATGACAAAGGTAGTTAGTTAGCAGGCTAGCTGGCTACATTACTGCTACAAATAGACTGCAAACAGAGAAGCTAATCGCTTTCATTTGAAATACTCTCTGCTTCTTTATCGTTTGTGAATGTATTTATACTGACATGTTCATGTGTTTTTCGCTGTTTGATTTAAGCCTTGCGTGTTTAAACACTGTTTAGCAAATCCCCCTGTCAAAGTTTCCAGTCACTGCAGGGATTTGGCAGTTTGTTGGCACGAGGATAGAGACATGTTTGAATAAAATAAATACATAATTTGAGTAAGCATTTGTTTAATTCTGTAAAAGGTCTGATTATGTTGCTTTCAAATAATTGCAAATAAAAAGATCGTCAATTAAAGCAGTTTTTTTTCCAGCAAGTGACAGTAGCTTAGGTAAACATTTATTTAAATATAAGAATAATCATAGAAACGTCTAAAAACTTGGCACATCTTTGTTATTTTATAGAAAAGAAATTCATTAAATGACAAATATTTTAAATTGTGAAGAATGTTTACAGACTAAAAACTGAATATTACTTTACTCAAACACAAAGCAATAATGTTACATCGTAAATGCAGATAAACCTTATTGTTTTTCTAACTTGTATGGTGATTGCTGGCTGGGACACGGGTAATAACCTCTAATAATAATAATAAACCCTGTCCAATCACTAGATTTAAGTAGAATTGTAATAATGCAGCAATAATTGTTATATATGAACACAATAATGCCTGATTGCTATTGCAGCTGTGCAGTATACACTGCGTGAGTAATTTCAATACTGCTTCATGTTGTTTTTGTTCACTGTTATTTTAGATTGTAATCCGACGTCTCCCTCCGACTCTAACTAAGGAAGACTTAGAGGAACAACTGCAGCCTCTACCAGAGCTCGATTACCTGGAGTTTTTCTCTAGTGATACCAGGTTTGTATATGTTGTCTTTTGGGAAATATAAAGGAAGCGCCAATTTAAGAAAACAGATGCAGTTACAAAATTAAGAAAAGATCCTCATCTGTCTTGACAGCATGCGTGCTGCAAACCCTCACAGTGCAAACGCATTTTTAAAACAAGCTGCATTTTCTCACAATCCAAACAATTTACGAAAATGTGCTGCATTTTCTCACAACATTTTCAAATAGCATGAAACACAACGGAAATGTTTCAAGAGGACCCTAAAATGTGACAGACCCGGCTATTTAGGTAATGGTTATTGAGGTTAATAAAAAACAAAAGACAAGAGAATCGGGATGTTTAAATACACAAACAAAACTCACCTTTCAAAGATCACAAACATCTTCCCTGAGCAATAATCACAGCACAATAAACATTTCCATTGTGTTCCGTTGTTTTTGCAAATGTTGTGAGAAAATGCAGCATGTTTTATTAATTGTTTGCATTGTAAGGATTTGCAGCTGTCAAACAAATGAAGATCTTTTCTTAATTTGCTGCCGTTTTTTGCTATTGTTTGAGTTTTTCTTAAATTGCTGCACATTAAGCTCTCTCGGCAACAAATATTAACAAATCAAAACAATAACAAAACAAATAAGATTACTGATTGGTGCATTTGTTTTTTGCAGTCTTTTCCCCCACCTATTTGCAAGAGCATACCTGAACTTCAAAAATCAAGATGACATTGTTCTCTTCAGAGACCGCTTCGATGGCTATGTCTTCATTGATAATCGAGGTTTGGCTTTACCAGACATTCATTGTTTGGGCACTAATCTGTGGTTTTATGAATTGTTTTAATCGTTGTACTGTTAGATCACACTCTTCACGCTAGATAAATAAGACCTAGCCCAGGACCCCAGATCTTGTCAGAAAATGTCTGTTTTTTTTGGGTATCCAGACAACAAGCTAGCCTTGTTCTCCTATCAGTATGTGAGTTGGCTGAGAAAGCTAGATAGGAGCAGAAGCAGGAGACAAAGTAATGATGATAAAGAAAGAGCAGAGTTTATTGAATAATCTTAGTTGCGTATGATTAAATGCTCAGACTTTGTCTGACCAGGATAAATTCAACAAGTGTTATTAAACCACAAGGAACAACAATGGAAAATTATTGCTTCACATCATTGTCCAGAGATAATACAGGCCTTAAAATGGAGACATTTTTTTTATCTCTTACTCATGAAAACAAGTTTCGCTTGAATCCACACAGTCATAAGATTATACCAACATGTAAATAATAATATTAAAATAAAAATAATAACAAAATATAAAAACATAATAAAATGACAAATAATAATCAGTCATTAACACATAATCAATAAAATAGCATATTGATAATTACATAAATGGCTAATGATCATATGATTAAATAAAATAATTGAATGAGGAATAAATAAAACAAAAACAAATAAAAAAAACTCAACACAAATGAATTGTTGCTTTCTTGAATTAACACACTTATAACTTTGCTAGAAAGATTCTCAGATCCTCAGATAGATTCTTCATTACCTTTGAGGTTGTTGTTCAGTCTAAGAACTGTTGGAAACTTGTCTGTAAACTTTCCTAACTAAACTTCTGTTTTATTTGTAATACCTATTATAGGACAAGAATATCCAGCCATTGTTGAGTTTGCTCCATTCCAGAAAGTTGCTAAGAAAAGGAGCAAGAAGAAGGATGCCAAAAGTGGAACGATTGATGATGGTGAACTATTATTTTTATTTTTATTTTCATTTGATTGTTTTAATGGTAAACAATAGTTAATATGGTGAAAGATTAAGCATTTGTTTATATTCGCTCTATTAGATGCTGATTACAAAAAGTTTTTGGAGTTCTACAATGGTGATGAGGAAAAAAGTCCTTCCAATCCTGAGATTTTACTAGAGGAAATTGAGGCCAAGACAAAGGAACTCAGCTGTGAGTTTCAGCGCAAAACCACTGGGATAAAAATGTTTTTCCTCTTATTTGGAATAATCATATTAAATGTTCTTTCCCCAGCTAAGAAAACAACACCTCTCTTGGACTTCCTTAAGAATAAACAGGTAAAGTATTATAATGGGTATTCTAATATTTATTACATTAGCCAATTCCTTTGGTTACCATAACATGCCAACTCTGCAATTGTGTGTATTCTCTTCTCACCTTTCCAGAGGATCAGAGAAGAGAAGAAGGAAGAGCGGAGACGACGAGAGATAGAACGCAAACGCTTGCGAGAGGAAGAACGGCGTAAGTGGAGAGAGGAGGACAGAAGAAAAAGAAAAGAGGCTGAGAAACTGAAAAAAGTGGAAAAGGCATTTGAGAAGGATAAGGACCAACATAAAGATGAGCAGCCAAAAATCAAGGTTTGTATGTTATTTACAACTTTTATTGATTTTAATTTACATTACATACAGTCATTTTTTGTTAGTTCTTCTATACTTGGTAAGATTTTATAAATGGTTTTAGGAAAAGGTAAATGAATGCCAAAATCATTCTTATTTTATTTGCTGTTCAAGAAACATGTCTTATTGTTGTTAAGTTATGTAAATGCATATGTAAAAATACTTGAAAAAACACTTTAAAAAATGAAAAGAGCAAAGTTAAAAACAAGTTGTTTTGTCTTTCAGCTCTTGAGAAAACCAGAGAAAGCAGATGATGGTGAAACTGAAAAGCCAAAAGACAAGCCCAAGAAACAAGACAGAGAGAGACAGAAGGAAGATCGACCTTCTGGAGGAGACCTGAAAAAGCGGCAGAATGGTGAACACAGAGAGGAGAAAGGGGGAAAGTAAGTTTGGTTTCCCAAAACTCTATTGCACCAGATGAAAATGATTCTTAGCCTTAATCTTAAAGGCTCATTTATACTTCTACGTCAAGCGCACACTAGGGTTGGGTCGATAGACAATGCCATCGTCCATCGCCAATGCCAGATAGACATCATGATGCTGAGCCAGCATCGCAATCCTCTGCCCTGCCCCCGTTGCAGCAGCAACCCACTTTACACTTATGCATCTTAGTTTTAAAATGGCATTTTAGAACGAAAACGATCCACATCCACACTGGCGTTTCATTTAGCATTTCTGAAAAGCCCTCCTTCAAAACTATACCGCTAAAAACCTACATCACGTGACCACACACACAAACACTCTGGCATGCTACAGCGTATGTGCGCGTCTGAGATCCAGCAATCAGCGGGAGACCCCAGAGCAAATATGAAACCCCAGAGAGCAGTGCACGTCGGACAGTTTATCAAGGATGTACCGCTGGATCGCGTCTCACTATAGTTGTTAAGCGTGGTATTTAATTAATCTAGTCTCTATCTATCGACTCCTGTCTTTTGAATCTATCAGGTAATGTGTCACAGCTTCAGTACACTGCTTCAATCTTTTGCTTTCATGCTTGTACTTAGTAATTTTAGCGAATACTGTTGGTTAGTTCCTGTTGGTTGTGCACCTTTTTTACCAACCAAGATTGTCGATGCCATATTGACAACACAGATCACTCTGCATATTCATGCCAGGGTCCCGCGGAAAAAGTGATTGACAGGTGGTAATTTGTGTGTAACTTTTCTTTATTTATTTATGATTTGGTCATGGGTAAAACAAAGACCATGCGGGTCCGGTAGTTGAAATGGTTGGCTACAAATGATAAATTCATTGTGAAATAATTATTCATAAATAAATCATTCACTGCAGACGATACCATAGTCTATTGCAATGTTTCACAGTAGACATTGTACGATGCCAAATTGGTCGACATTGGCCAACTCTAGAACACACATATATGGTATGGCGCAGCCTTCTCACGGTCAGACCTTGCCATGGCTGACACCAATGTCGATGCACACCTCTCAAAAAATGGTCACACTTTACAATAAGGATCATTAGTTAATGTTAAGTAATGCATTTACTAATATGAACAAGCATTGAACAATAGATTTACTCCAGTATATATTCATGTTAATAAACGTTAGTTAATGAAAATACAGTTGTTCATTGTTAGTTCATGATAACTCATGGTGCATTAACTAACGTTAACAAGCATGGACTTGAATGTTAATAATGCATTAGTAAATGTTCAATTATGATTAATAAATGCTGTACATGTGTTGTTCATGATTAGTTCATGTTAGTAAATGCATTAATCAATGAACCTTATTGTAAAGTGTTACCCAAAAAATGTAAATACACGTCGCAATTACGCATAGCGCAAGCTCTGTGATTGGTCGATTTGGTAGTGTGGGTCAGTTTAATGAGTATGGGCGTTGCTGTGATCCACAAGCCCAATGGAGCGATTGTTTACAACGGCGCGTCCAGTGAAGGAGTGGAAACTTTTGTTTTGTGTTCACCTTACGATTAAAGTTGTTGCACTTCCTCTTTTTCCCGCCTCTAAATGATAAGAGTTTTAGCTACTTGTAGCATTCAGAAAATAAAAAATATAAAAAATATAATAAAAATAATAAAAAATAAAAAATTATGAAGCGAGTTTAGAGTAAAAAGATGTTATACATAGTATTTTTCACAAGCTTTAAGATGTAACAGCCTTCACTCAGTCATAGTTGTCTGATAATTTCATTATATTCTAATTAAATTGAATTTGATCATGATTTTTTTGCGTAGCATATCATTATACTACCACTCTGTCTATGACAATGCTCTCAAAAGTTGCCCAGCTCTACTTTAATTGTCTAAAAATTACGATAAAAAGGAGTCACTGAGATCTAATCTTATCAAACATGCATCTGTTGTTCTTGCTGTTTTCAGCAGTTTGTTGCTGTTCTTTGTGTGTGTTTCTTTTCTGACTGATGCTTCAATCACACTAGCAGCAACTTTGTAGCTGCCTGTTGTTCTGGGTGGCGACCTGCTGCAAACGCAGGTTTGTGTAGGTCTGCAGCACAGATAATACAACCGGCCTCTGAGCAAGCTGAGAGAGGATCATGTGATCTCTACTGGTGCTCCTATTGGTTGTTGCTCAAGATAGTTGCTCTTCATTTGCATAAAGTTTAAGGATTCTCAACTCTGTCGCGTCACTCGACATGCCCACCTGGTTGCCTATGGCTGCTATCGCTCGTGTAGACAGAGGTCACCGGAAGTCATTTGCTTTCCATTGAAATGATTGTTTGCTAGTCGCTCGAAGTGTGAATGAGGCTTGAACCAACAGCCCAATCAGTGCTGACAACTCATGAACAATATAAGTAGTGCAAAATAAAGTTCAATGTTTATGTGTGAGCCTGCGTATACACTTTATTGTTGTTTTCCTCTCGTTTCATAATGATTTCAGCCTGTTTTATCATGCAGACCCGAGGATGTTGGACATAAAGAGTACCGAGATCGTGATGGAGAAAGAGAGCGAGACCGGGACAGAGAGAGAGAGCGAAGACAGAAGGAGAAAGAGCGCATCAGAAGACAGGATGAGGAACGGAGGAGGAGAAGGGAACACCAGGATGGAGAAAACAACTACAGAAAAAGAGAGGAGGAAGGGAAGAAAGATAAGGAGCGCGTTTGGGAGAAAAGGAAGAATGAACACACTGGAGAGTCCTCTGGCAGTGCTCGTCCTGAAAAGTCATCAAGGGACAGCAAAAAAGAGGAAAGTGCCAGAAAGGACCGTCTGAGAAATAAGGTGCATGCTTTTTTTATACAGTACGTTAGGTATAGCCCTGTTCACATGACTATAATGATAAAGACAGATTTTATTACTGAAAAAAGTCCTTGTAGTTTAAATAACAGCTATAGTAATGACACTGGTACAGAAGTCACTTAATTTATTTCGGCATAAATAATAAAATATTGGCAGACAATTTGAATAGATCCTGCTTTAAAAGACAGGGTGTCCGTGGGTCTTAAAGTATTAAAAGTTTATAAATCAATTTTGAGATAATTAAGACACTTAAAAGGTATTAAATAGGCTAAATCACGTTTTTACAAGGTATTAAATTTTGTTCAAGCATTGTCCAAAGTGTTTGACTCTTGCATAAATATATTGATTTCCGGCCAAGCTCCTTTATCCGGGTGATTGTGGGAAAGTGATGTGACGCTTTCCACATGTAGTGAAACCATAGAGCGAAACAGACGGCAAAATGGGAAATTTTTTTTTGCTTACTTCTGGTTAGAGAAAGACAAGTTTAAACAGCGGCTGAAGCCTGTCGTTGAAAACAACCACATTTATATTATTATTTATTTACGTTGTTATTTATTATTTGTTAATATTATTCTTTCAACCTTTGTTTCTTCTGAGCTAATCTGAGTTTTGTTGCGTGGTTGTGGCTTACTGATTTATTGATTTATTTAACCACAACTGTTTATTAACAACTGTTTAAGTTAAAGGTTTAATACTGATTAGAACTTGAAGTGGTAATGAGGTCTTAAAATATTCTGAGAAGGTCTTTAAAAATCTTAAAAAGGTATTGAAATAACCTTTAGGATTTCTGCACATACCCTGAAAAGAGTTTAAACATATGACAGAACTGCAGCAAGGGCTAATAATAAATAGTACAATGTTGTGATACTTATATTTACTTTAACAGATGTCTTGTGGCCAAGAACCATAGACTGTAAAAGATATGGATGTAGTTTTCGTGACGTCACCCACAGGTTTCTGAAGAGCGCAAATGAAGCTACAAGTGGGCGTGGCCAATCGTCGCCATTTTGTTCATGCATCATCGTGCCAACCGGGGTTAACCAAAAAAAGGGCAAAAGAGGCAAGGCTACAGATGCCTGCTTGCATTTTGCTTAGACAGGAGAAACGCTTAATACTTCATTACCTACGATTCGTTTGTGTTCTGGCTACATGTGCCTTGTTGTACACTATGTCAATAAAGTGTTTAATCTTTTAAAAACACTGCTGTAATACATTTAGCCACTAAGCATTGTTCTTATGAAATTTTTCTACAAGAGGAAATGCAAATTACTCCCAAATATTTCAAATATAGTCTGTGTTAGTAAATCCAAGGCTATTTATGAAATCCAGGCATAACGCTGTATGACAATGTTTCCGATGACTGTTCAGATTCTGATTCTGGAGTGCATTTAAGTTATAAAGAACATTATAAAAGATAAATGATCTTAAAAAAATGTTATTTACTAATATGGTATACAAGTCTAAAATTTCACTTACCTGGGAAACGGAGGCTACTTAAATGGTTTGTAAACACAGTTAAATGTGCAGCATGGCATATCATCTGATAATTGTAAGAAATAATTCCAAAAAGTAATTGACTGTGTAAAGCCACAAAAAAACAACACAAAAATATGATGCATATGCCAAGTTCAGCGGCTAATCAGCCGGAATCAGCTGAGGTGAAGTGACGTGACCAGCGAGACCTAGCTGTCACTCTAGTGGCCACGCCCTTAAACATGCAGACTAAATAAAACTTCCTATAAATGAAACCGATAAGTTACAAGACAATTCACCCCCTCACAGTTGTCATGAAATGTAATACTAGCTATATGCACCTAAATAATTCTTTGTACCAGGCTGCAAACAACCTTTTTTTTTGCTGTAAAGTTGGCCATTTTAAAAGCGGGTTTAATACAAATCTGCTCGATTATGGAGCCAGGACTAGCGGAATTTCAATGAACTGCAGTTTCAGTTACTTCTGTATTGGCAAGGGAGAGAGGGATGTTGCCGCTTGCCAAGAACACACTGCAAGGCAAGAAAACCCATGCTGATAGAAATTTGTTTAGTTAGTGAGGTATTTCTGATGTGGTCTGTGCTATTTGCAGCATGTTAGTGATTTGCATGTTTTGTGAGAACTTGTGTGTGTGTGTGTGTTTTCAAAATGATGTTTTCATAGTTTGTTAGTGTTTTTCTATTTGCATTTGTTTTCTTCATTTGAGCTCTTTCAGTCACCTTAGATTGGATTTAAGTAAATTGTTTATAATTGAATTTTTATCACAAGTATTAGTATGTTTCTATAAAGCCAAACTAAGGCTGTGGAGCTTTCTTTTTCTAAAACAACCAAAATGGCTATATTCCAGGATGACAGTGTTGACTAGGCTCAAATTTTGAAGGCTTCATTCTCACAGAGTAATTGACCATCAGTTGACCCGTGCTGGAGCAGACAGTGAATGCCTCATGGTTCTGTAATCACAACACAATTTCAGCCTATAGGGAATGAAACTCTTGATGGAAATAAATATTGACATTGCATAAGGTGCTTGAAATTATGTCCTAAAAAAACAGCATAATCAAAACTTGATGGTCCTAAAGATGTTTAAAAAAAAAAAAAAGAAAGAAAATCCTGAAGTATTTGACCATGAAGAGAGCTACTCTGTAAAGTCTACTCCAGCACATCCCAAAGACATCAGGTGAAGTTGAGCATAACTGCCGGTAAATTTTGTTAATGAAAATATGTTAAATAGATGCTATTTTTATGTCCATTCAACATTACCTCTAATAATAACTGAAAGGCTCCAAATGGTGCTTTGAATTTTTATTTAGTTCTGTATTTATTTATTTATTTGTTCATTAGTGCAAATAATATTTGTTGTTTCACCAAAATGTCATATCGGCCTTAAATTACATTCAAAATGATCTTAAATCTGACTTGTGTTAAAACTGCAGAAAAGTTATTTTTGGTAAAGCTGTGTATCTTGTACGTTTGATAATTAATCTTTCTCTTCTGTCTGGAACTTTTTGGGGATTCTAAGACGCTTATCTCGGAAGATACAACACGTTTCATGATACCTCTGTTAAATGCATTTTTATTTTTAATGATGATCACTAGTGGTGTAACGGATCACAAATGATTTTTTTATTTACGGATCGAACCATTTTTCAGATCAGCCAAAAAGTGGAGCAGACAAATGGAATTTGCTTTCCGTTCATTACAAAAACATATTTAAAAAAAATTTAAGATAAAAAGAAGAAATAATCAGCTGAATAAAAATAAATAGTAAAATATTCATTACTGTGAAAATTGACTGTTACTACTGTTGCTGATAGCACTAAATGTAGAAATCTAACATTATAATTTGTACAGTCCATATTTATTTTTAATCTCATTTTCAGTAAATGATTCAGTTCTTCACTCATAAAACGTCATGTTTCATTGCTAGATGATCATTTTTGAAAAGTTATTCAGTGGCATATTTTTGATGGCTGGTTGTCGCCACCTATTGGTGAAATGTAATTGCTGCCAACAACTTTCATTTTTGAGCATCAAGTTAAATACATATGGTGGTGATTTTAATCTTTACCATAAACATCTAAACTATAAACTGTTATCCAGTACTTCTGTGTTATTTGACTGTTTGTAACTTCATAACTAACTCAAAAGACTAAAGACTCGATCTCTTTTGTGATTTTTTTGCATTTTTTAGATTTGAATGCAGGCTTAACGAGAAGTGACAGAAAACACCTTTAATAACCCACAAATACAAACTAGAAACCCACCATATCCCGAATTTCTTTTTCCGTCATCATTACATTTTACAGGAAAGTCTAAATGCTTTCATACATGTGATTTGAATGACACAAGAGGTGATCTCTCTGCCATTGTTATAAATTTAGGATTAATCTACAAGAAAAATATTTGTATTAATCTGCCAGTGCTTCGAACCATGGGTTAACCGTGATCTGTTACACCCCTTAAGATCACTATTCAGTGCAGTTATATAGATGAGCGCAAACATGCCTCTTTTGTAGATGAACAAAATATGACAGAACAATCCTAAATGTATATTCATTTGACATTTCTGCTTTAGGATCGACCTGCAATTCAGCTGTACCAGCCCGGGTCTAGGAATCGTACTCGAGGAGGAGGAGGTGGAGGAGGAACAGGAGGAGATGGACCAGCAGCAGAAAAGAGAGCTGAGCGGGAGGCCAAGAAAAATCAAGAAAAAGCAGCCGAGTGAGAAAGCAGCTTTGTGTCGCATGAAAGGATGTCTCGCAAGCGGAGAGGGGCTCTGTTCTAATCAGGACAAACATGGTGCTGCCATTAAAATCCCCCCACTTATAAAACAAACACACTCTCTGTCCATGACATGAGAGCACATACCTGTTGCCCTCCAGTGCCTGAATGAGCCCTGCAGTGTTTCTGTTCATGAGCAAGGCAAGTCCTAACCGACGGTTAGATCTGAGAAACGGGGCATAACCACGAGAGAAGCCAAAGCGACCATGGTAAATCGAAGTGACCTTACTTTTGGTACACAGCCAAACTTGTTTTACTTCACACGCTTTTCCTGTTTCATAGTTCCGAAGCGGTCTTGCTCAAGATTTCTCGCAGCTTAGCTTTAGAAACGTGCTTCAAGCCTTACCTGAACCCTTCATAGACTTCAGACAATCAGTAATGAATTTGTGTTCTTCAAGCATGGATGTTGCCTGTAGCTGTTTTAATGAGCCTGCTGATCTGCATCCTTTCTGTTCTGATTAGGGGAAAAAGAGCCATGCTTTATGATGCCGATGCCTTGATCACTGTCAGTTCTTTTCTGCAAGTTGACTAAATTATATGCAAAAAAAAAACAATACAGATGTGGCCTTTTATAGTTTTGCAATTGAAGCTTCTATGAACTCTGGAACAATGCAACTTTTGGTTGGTTTGGTTTGGAAACAGTCACATGTGCTGTCCATTTCAATGACTCCTGAACTCAAAAACACAGCTTGTTTTCCTTATATAGTCGCAGCTTTGTCAAAATTTGAAAAGAATTACAATAAACAAACAACCTCTGTGATACTGTTTAGTTTTTTTTTTTTTTTTTTTCCTTTGGTTAAAATATATATTTATATGACTTAATCTCTCTAAATGTTAAAGGTGCAGTATGTAGGTTTGACACCCAGTGGTTGAACTAGATATTGCATTCCAGGATCAAAGCAAACACAAGTGCATGTTGCCAGATTGAGGACAAACAGGAGCGAGTCTGACGATCAAGCCTAAAGGCTGATTCAAGTCGTGATATATAAAAGCAACAGCACGCGATTGAAGGAATATTTTCCATATTAAAAGGAGTTTTTTTATTAAGAGGAGATTTTCCAGCATGGAAAACACCTTTCCAAAGCAGAATATCTGACTTCAGCACTGATTTTCAGAAAAACAAGAATATTTACTTGGCATGTTTCTTAAATATCTGCAAATATATTATGGTATTTTTATGCTTTCGATTAGTCAAACACTTACATACAGCAACTTTAAACATTCTCTTTTGATTTATGGCTAAAGGATATGTTTATTGCTTTACATTTTTAAAAAACATTTCTTTTTAATGAACAGTATTCCCAACCACACCATAAGATCCCCGCCTAGAGGTCAGTTATAAGAACTGCTATACTACACTGATATATTGGTCTTTTTGAGACCACTAGCTTTGCGTTTTAGGGAATATATTTTTCTTCATAGTTTTAATCATCTATTGGTTTTGTAAATAGTTACCCTACCTTTAGTGAATCTTAGCCTAAAGCTTACATCGTAGTTCTCACCAATTACATTAATTACAATAAGAACAACCTCATATGAAGGTAAACAGTTAATATTCCCCCTGATTGTATTCTTCCTGCTTTTCTTATTACCTTTAACTGTAGATTTAATGTTATTTTCTAAGAATTGTGCATAGTTTAATGTTAATGGGGTCACCTCACATTGTTCATGCCACTTCTTAAAAACAGGCTTCTTTTATCAAAGCAGTAGCCTGTGCTAAATGCATTTCTAAACTAGAACTGACAGCTAGATTTCCCAGGAGAAAGCACATGTAATTTGCAGTGCAATTCTGATTAAGTTGCTTGTAAGATTTAAAAAAAAAAACTTATTTCTTTATTTTAATATAAGTTTTAATACCCTGGAAAGAAATTAAGGTATATTTGTAACAACTACTTAAATGTTGGACCACTTTAATGTTGTCAACCAAATGCATTCAATGTTATGATAATGTAAGCGACTACAGTGAGCTTTGGGACAAATAAAAACACAATTCAGGTGTTTAGAAAGAAACCTTTATTCTGTTTGATTTGCAAACTCATCTAACAACAAACCATAAATTCTGGTTGTCTTGAGTTGTCTTCTTTGCTCAACAACCCTGGCCTGCTGAAAACAAAAACATTAAACAGTTCACACAAAGGCCCTATTGTCAATTTTAGACTATAGTAAACTAAAGTTTAAAACTATAGTTTAAAATAATAGCTAAAGTGGGCCACGCTGCTCCCACCCATCATAACCCTTGCAGCAGTTCCCACTGTACTGGCATTCCGTGTTTTCCTGAGGGTCCTCAGATCATGTATTGCTCCCTGCCTAGGGTGCACAGATGCCTTGCTCTAGGAAGTGCACAAGCTAACCGGGCGCAAGTCCGTGCTAGTGTTCAGCGGAATGTTGCTTGGCGGCACACTTCGAGCAACAAACATGTGATATTCCTCGCAATGTTGCGTTTACGTTCGCAAACCACAAGGAACTACAGCACAGACGGGCCCAAGTGAAGCTTCACGAAGAGGACTTTGTGAGATTGGAGTGGATCCACTCGTACCGTCGTTATTGAACTCGCCTTGGTCAAGTACAAACAGCAACACTTAGAGATCCAACACAACTTTTATTTTTATTTTTATTTTTTTATTAAAGCGTTCAACAAGAATACAAAAATATACAGAAAAGGTACAAAACCTTTAACAACAAGGGTAGAGAACAGAACAAAACAAAATGACAAACTAAAAAAGAATATGCCAGGGGGAATATAAATTACAAAAAGCACTTTAAATTTAAAGCAAGGTCACAGTGATGTTTACAAGATCACATACAATACAGTCATCTATTATAAAAAAGAGAGAATATTGTAAGATTCACATAGTGTTACGGATTTTAAAGCTTTAACATTGCTGGAGGTAGAGATTGTATTTAAATAATATTTCAAATCTTTACAAAAAAATAAGAACTGAGACATCGAATGTTTAGAACGCGACGTCATTGGCTGAGCATCTCGTCATAAAGAGCATTGACGAGGGGGACATATATACAATGAACATATACTTTTGGGTGGTGATTTTAATATCATAACACGATAGATGGCCTCCTGCATCCTGTAATAATACAAATATAAAGCTAAATATGTTGACGTAAAAAGGTTTGATCTAATTGATGTACAGTATGGAGAGTCAAGAATCCTCATCAAAAAGCTTTTGGTGTAACAACTCAAGATAGCAGTCAAGAATAGGCTTGTGATTAGTCTCCTGTATATTTGAAGGAATTATAAGAGTTGATAAAGAAATGTCATTTTTTCACAGTTGAGTGGGTTGTTGTTGATTTGAAAGAAATCTATGTGAAAGCAAGATAGAAATGAATAATAAACGTGGTTCACAGTTGTTTACAGCATTAAAATAATTTTATTATTTGGAAAATTCTATTATTGACAAAATTATTGATTATTTTAGTTTATTAATTAGCAAAAAATCAAAAGTCATCTTTAACTGTAGATCAGTGCCAGCCCGTCCAACAGGCAATATAGGCAGTCGCCTAGGGCCCAGCATTTCTTGGAGGGCCCCAAGGGACCTCTTCTTAAATATTTACAGAAAAATAAGCTCGAGAATGAGCGGGCATGTTTAAATTATGATCAATAAGCATAGTGCAATGCACAAACCCAATTAAGTAGCTGAGAGCTATAATAAATACACAAGTATGAATAAAAGCAGAAAATATTAAAAACATTCCCAGCAGCACCACACTCTATTTTGCATTACATTGCCTGCGATCGGCTATTGGGTGAACTAGAATGACGTAATACATTCCTACACAGACTTCACATAAATCTTCAAATTAGAATTCAATTAAAAAAACAATATGTATATTTCAAATTGCTCAAGTTCAATATAAAGCCGAAAAAGTGTCTTAAAGTCTTAAGTAATATAACGTTACAAGTGTCTTTGCTATTTTTAATCAATATTATTTGAATTTAATTTGAAATGAAAACATCATCTATCCGAAGCCGAAAAAAGAAAGAGAAAGAAAAGAAAGCTCAAAGTAAATTTTTCTGCTGTGCGTAATATATTATTAGTGTAGTATTAGGACTTGTTTTAATAAATGCAGCGATACCCTTAATCACAGAAATCCTTGTGTGAGGAAATAATAGGCCACATTTAGCATATTTCTTTAAATGATCCATTAATTATCTATCCCACTAATTCACCCTGCTAAAAAAATAGGTTACCTTCTCTTTTTTTAACTGTTTTTACACAAGTGGGCCCAATTTATTTACCTCGCATAGGGCCTCAACCCTGCAGGCCAGCACTGCTGTAGATTTAACGTTACATTCTAAGGCTTGTGTATAGTTTAATGTTAATGCGTTCACCTCACTACTAGTTAGATTGTTCATGCCACTTTTTAAAAACTTGACAGGCTTTTTTTATCAAAACAGTAGCTAGTGCGAAACGCATTTCTCAACTAGAACTGACAGCTATATTTCCCAGGAGAAAGCACATGTAATTTGCAGTGCAATTCTGATATAGTTACATATAATATATTTTCAAAAACCTTATTTATTTACTTGTAACAACAACTTTTTTTTCTGGACCACTTTAATATTGTCAACCAAATGCATTCATTGTTTTGACAATATAGGCTACTACATAGACCTCTGGAACAAATGAAAACACAATTCAGGTGTTTAGAAAGACAACTTTATTCTGTTTGATTTGCAAACTCATCTGATATTTAACCAAAAGAACGAAAATGGAGAAACCATTGTAATGCGCGCACTCACAACCATAAATCATGGTTGTCTTGAGCGTGTTGTTCTGAATCCTTATTTGCTCAACAACCTATGTCACTTATAACAATTCATAATATCTTCACTGTAAAAAATGTCTGTTAATTAACAGTTTCTGTATTTTGTGATTCACAAGTGTTTTCTGTTTATTTACGGTTGTGAATTGCATTATGGGATGTTGATCTCTGCTCTGTCCACTTTTGATGTTAAAAATTTACTTCTATTTATACATACCTTCAAGTATATCAAACTTCAGATCTCCTCAAGTATATCAAACACTGATTGTTACTTTGCTGTGTATTTCCTCAAATGGATTTCTTTTTTTTTTTAAATAATCTTTTTATTGTTTTTAGCATAAGAAATAATCAACAACATAAACAGAACAGAAAACAACAAAAATAAATAAATAAATAAAAATAAGGGGGGGTTACAAAGGCCATTTCAAAATATACAAATAGTCAGACAAAACATAATACAACATCATCCAGAAAGCATAAGGAAATAAATAGAATTAAATATGAAACAAAAATAATTTACAGAGAAATGCATAGGCTCCACAATTCGACTTACTCCAGACCAATCTCACTTATAAAGAGTTACAAGTTAGCATTACTGATATAGAACATAATTGGGCTCCAGATTTTTAAAATGTGTTTAGTTTGTTTGTCATCCCAAATCACATTTCCTCCATGCGCAACACGTAACTTAAGCTTTTAACCCAAATTTCGAAAACAGTCAAATGGATTTCTTTAACAGATATATTCAAGTATATCAAACATTAATAGCTTAAAACATTGAAGGCACACCTGCAATCAAGGCTTACTGTATAAAAGGCTGAAGCACGTGCTTAACTGACTTGCTTATATTGAATGTCTTAGGCCCCTTATTCTCAACAGAGGATAAAGTAAAGGATTTTGGTTTGTTTTAGTGAACCCATCAATATACTTTGTATGGTAAGATATGAATCTAATTTATTCCTGAACAACGTTAGAACAATACTGTAGCTAAGAAATATAGCCAAGAAAAGATTCTGGTTTCCTTATTTAATTAGGGTATTAAATAAAGGCATGCAGCACAATATTCACCAAAAAAATCTAGGCCAAAAATATACCAACTTTGACTGAGACCACAGTTAAAGAGTATTTTTGTTTTTATACTTTGCAAAATGCCAGAGGACATCAGCATCGCGTAGTGTCCTGTGCTGTTGGATCCACTGTGTGTCGCTGTGTTGTAAAGCCGCTCCCCGGCTCGTGACTCGGATATACAGCGCCAGCATTTCCCATGGTTCCTCCTCTTCGACTACCGCCATAGTGGTGAACGGATTGCGATCCCCGAAATGGTGAGTGATAATCTCATAACATCGTTAAATAAGTAGATATTTCGCCACACATCAGTCCATGTTTGTGTATTAGTTAAAGGTTTTAGTCGATGGAACTGAATATTTGTCAGATTAATGTTTGATGGAGAATGAAACGGCTTGCGGGGTGACCAACTTCAGCCATTGCAGATTGTGACGCGTTTCTTTACATGTGTGTTCCAGGCGTCGCACAAGACCTTCAGGATCAAACGCTTCCTTGCCAAGAAGCAGAAGCAGAACAGGCCGATCCCACAGTGGATTAGGATGAAAACTGGCAACAAGATCAGGTACGTTGAGCTGTTGTGTAGCGGTGATGTTAGCTGTAGCCGCTGTAATGAACACCGCTACCGCACGCAGCTTGTGTTCAGTGGCTGCATGAAAGCAGGACGCAATTACAGTGCTAAACTCTTTTGTGGGAGTACTGCCATTATCCTGCTGAGAGCATCTTCTGCTGTGGAGTCTTGATTACTGTCATCTCTATATGACCAGTGAACGCTCTGCTGTGGAGACATAAGCATTGTATATATTGAGAAACTATGCATTTAAGTGAGCTTTGCTCAGTCTTTTTAAAGGGATTAATTGCCCAAAACTGACAATTGTCATTTACTCACCCTCAAGTGTTTCTAAACCATTGAGTTACTGTATTCTGTTACCACAAGTTATTTTGGAGAATGCTGGTAATCTGTAGCAATTGACTAATGTCGTTTATTTAAAGGTTAGTGGTTAATCTTTTTCTGCCATTAAAATGTCTTTTTGTGTTTAGAAGCTAAAAGTTTTGGAATTAAGGTAATAATGAGAATTTATTTTAGGTTTAAACTGTCAAACTCCCTTCCTGAAGGGCTTCAGCTCTGTACAGTTAAGTTGCAGCCCTAACTAAACACACCTGATCAAATTAATTGAGTTCTTCAGGCTTGTTTGAAACCTACAGATATGCTTGTTGAAGCAGGGTTTGAGTGAAGTTTGAAAGCTGCGCCGCTCTAGCAACTGAATTTGACACCTGTGGTTTAAACCATCCATTTAAATCTGTAGTTTACCACCTCAAAAACATGTCATTTACCCACCCTCAAAATAAAAGATGAAACTTTGTAGGTAACCAAGGAATTTGATGGTACCTAAAAAATCATTTTAAAGTCAATGGTGTAAATTCTTTTTTTATTATTTATTTATTTATTTTTTTGTTAATGTATAAAGATTTGCATCTTCAGCATAAGGTGCAGAAGCTCGAGTAAATTAATTGGCATTGTTTTAGGAAACTTTAAATGCATGTGTTGGTTTCCTAAACAATCTCGAACTTTGGATTCGGAAAGTGGTTGTAAAATTTAGTTCAAACTAATAAACACAACAGTATTAATAATGAAAATAAGTGTGTTATAAGTGACTTGGGTTTATGTTCTAATATAATAGGTTAAAATAATTCAGTTTAAATAGATGTAATTAAAATAATTAATGCTACTTAATAAATATTCATAAAAATGAGTGTAAAATTAAAGTAGGCTATGGCATAATTTAACTGTTCCCTCAAGTATAAATTACGTTCATGCAAAATGTGTACACTGAAATTATTTAAAGATGATTACCAGGTTTTACTAAAGTTAAGTGGTTAATTTATTTGGGCTGAATTTAAACAAATTAGGTTGAACGGTATTTAATTTAATTTGTTTGAATTCAACAAATTATTTGCATCAGTTTTGCCAAAACCCCCCCCCCCTCATTTTTAGTCTATGTACACCATTACATGTTTAGAATAGTGTCTGCTTCACAGAATCCTCCACAAACCTGAAGGCTCTAAGTGTAGAGATTAATTGAATATAGCAATTACTAGACCTTACTTTGTTTTTTAATGCATGCTTTTCTTGCCAACATAATTCTTAGTTCCTTGACAATGCGGTTTACCAAAAACAAGATTTCAGTATAATTGATTTTTAATAGGTGTTTGTCTGTGTGATGCTTTATCTTCGCTAATCTTTATGCAGATACAACTCCAAGAGGAGACACTGGAGAAGGACCAAGCTGGGCTTGTAAACCACTGTTTACTTCAGCATCCCCCTCCATCTGTTCCCTGCCAGGACCACCAACTCATCCAGAGCTGGAGAGAAGCCATGCTATCTGGAACAGCAGTCTCTCTTTTGTACAGATATTCTGGTTATGTCCTTGCTAAACAATAAACAATTTGTCATCGAACCAGAATTATGTGGATTTTTCTCTTTTGTGAAATGGCAAATGCCAAAGTTTACATTCTCCATTGAGTGGTTATGCAAGAAAACAAATCTGCTTTTATATTAATACACTTCATTTAGTATTTTTCTGATGTTTTTAACTTCTGGTTAGTGAAACAAGAATCACTTAATACCAGCTGTATTCTGTTCCATTATTATTTATCATGTAGACTGCTATCCTTCTGAAATCTTCTCTAAATTGTCTTCATGGTTTAGAATTTAGGTGTGAATCTAAGCAAACAAAGCATCTCCAGTATTGCAATGTTTATTTAAAAAGATAACAAATCATATAATGCACAGCACTATTACAAAGTCAATTATTTGCCAGTCTCACCAATCAAATTGTAATTAATGCACCAAGTATTAACCCGTAAGCAATACATTTGAAGTCTCAGATCTTTTCAATCAGTCCTGCACTGTACAACAACCTCTTAAATGATCTGAATCTCTGGCGTGTGATTCCTCCAGAGCCATCCACCTCTGCTTTATTTTCTTGAGCATGTTCTTCAACTGGCTGTGCTTGACTTGCACTGTTGTTCACATTCAAGTGTCCTACAGTGTGTTGTTCATCCCAGGCTCCCAAAAGCTCCTTCATTTCTCTCGGTGCCTTTTCCTTGAGATATTGCCATGCCCTTTTACCATTGTAGTCCATGACGTCTATGTTGGCACTGAATGCACCAACTAAAACCTTGACCACCATGTACTGCTCATGCATGGCAGCCACATGAAGAGCAGTCATACCTCCACTGCCCCTCAGGTTAACGTTCACTGACAGACCCTCCTTTTCAGCATGCCTGAGAAGCTGAAGTAGTGTCTCGTCCCTACCATTTTTGGCCAACCAATGAAGAGCTGTAAATCCGCTGATAAAGTCTTTTTTGCTCAGTAAACTGGGATCTTCAGCCAGAAACTCCAGCATGGTGTCATAATTTCCATCCACAGCAGAAAGCATCCACGCGTGCTCCATGGGGTCCAAAGCCCACAGCTCATAGCCGCAGTTCAGGGTGTCGCCATACTCCGCGCTTTCCTCCTCTTCTGACGATTTGTGTTTGGATAATAAAATACTTGACAATCCAGATCCGTTATTCAGAAATAACTCCTTAAGATACTTCTTTCGCATAGCGGGGGTGAGGGAGCCTTTCTCCGAAGCATCCACTGACAGTTTGCGGGAGGCGCCCGGCTCCCAGCCCTCCGGCGGTTTGTGGACCTTGGATCTGCGCGAGGAGGAGGCAGCGCTGGACGCGGGAGACACCGACCGAGGACCATGCCTAGACAGCCGCTCTTCCAGATGTGCACGGAACTGGCTTGCTATTCTGTTTTTGGGGGAGTCCGAACTGCTTGCGTTGTTCCCTGAGGCGTTCGTTTCTTCTCTTGGTTCTTCCGAGGGCAGTGCCTCTGCTCCCAGAGGGGCATTAAAATGTCCCTCATTAGAACTGATGGCCCCGTTGCAGTTCCCCTCATACATACTGGCGGATCCCCGGGAAGTTATTTACTTAGATAAGATCCAAATTGAAGAGGATTGCATAACCAGAGAAAAACCATCTTCCTTGTCTTCAGTTCTCTATAATTGCCCAGATTTGGGTGGGGAAGAAATAAATGTAACGTTATCAAGTTTAAATTACAACAATAGATAAGTCGTTTATTATTAAAATTGGGATTTCTAGAAGGTTATTAAAATGTATAATATTAAAACAAAAGAAAACGACTTAGTTTTCTCTTGGGGGTAAAAAAAAAAGCTTCCTTGTTTTTGTTCCTCTTTATTTTTGCTTTTAAAACAAAACATTCACTCCAAGTTAACGTATATTTTAATTATTAGCCTACTTTATTTCATTTTTTTTACCTTTTAATCTGGTTTACCCCTTGATGTTTACGTTTTCGGGAATTGTTTTACTTTTAATTAAAATGTATTTAAATAAACAAATGTATATAAACAAATAAATAAATTACATTCTTGTTAACGTATGATATTTGAGAATCTCTAACATTAGATTTCTTGATGAAAGTAAGTGAATTTAACCTGTCTCTCAAGTAAATCATCCGTTGATCGTGTCACCTGTTGTCCACACAGTTCGTCTAGATATTCTTGTCTCGTCCTGGTAAGTCTTTCTGTTCTGACACAGCTCAGCCATTGTTGCGGTTTATGGATTTTTAACGCATAGTTAAACGGCAAGTGTTTATTTCAGAGAAGCAAAAAGTTGTGTTGGCTAACCGAAACTATTCGTGTGTGTTCTTCCTCAGTAACCATTTCCGATGTCCTCCAATCCCTCCCCTTGATAAAGTCTAAAGTTCAAATACCAGTGACTAAATCAACACTTGTCTTCATACCCACAACACTGGCCACTAAAGGCTGACGCGTTATAAACTGGTTTTGTTTATCAAACATATGCAAAATGCAGTAAGTTCACAGGACACTCTTTGCAAATTGTCTGTTTAAGTAGCCCAAAACACCTTCAAAAATAAAGATTAATGTTTGTACAGCATTTTAAGTGTGTGGTTTTTAAGGATTTAGTAAACTTGGTAGAAATATAGTAAAATTGTGTCAGCATTAGGTTACTTAAAAGCACAAGTTTCAGTGAATAATAGTAACCTAAAATACTCTGGATTATAAGTAAATTTGACTTAAAATAGGGTTGCCGAACTTAATTTCAAGTTAAAATTGAGTTGATGTTACTTGAATGTGTAATTTGAGACCATGCAAAGTCTAAAAGAAGTTTGAAATACTCAAGGCTGATGCAAATAGTTGCCTCGTTTTTTCATTAAGTAAAACATACACAGCATATATATATATATATATATATATATATATATATATATATATATATATATATATATATATATATATATATATATATGTAATTTTTATTATTATTATTTTTTTTACAGTTTATTGGATTGATATAGTACTCATAGGTTACATTATAGCATGTAGCATGTAATTTGAACAGTCTGCTGAAAATTTGGACTTGCCTATCAATTTTGAATTCATTATGTCTCATATAGGTGAATTTATACATAAAAACAATAGATAGCCTAACGATTAGAGACTCATGAATAGAAATAATCAGTCAGCACTTAGGCCATATTATTGCTGTTTATTTTTTTATTTATTTCTAAATTGCCATATGTGTTTTTAGTAAATCTCAAATTTAATTAAAAATCTATTTTTTTCTCATAATTATTAACATTTTCTGTTTTCTCTCTGTTTAAAATACCCTCCCCTGATACTATTTTCTATTGTAAATTTATAAAGGCCTAGTGTATTAGACTAGCTAGGATTCATCATATTTACATATTTTTGTTTTGTTGTTTTGACTACTTCTGTTGTTTCTTGTTTCATTTTGGATAAAAGCGTGCAGTGCATATAATAAATATATTTAAATTATAATTGGAACGTTAGACTACAAGGCCTACATTGCAGATCTACATTAATATATTTAATGCTTATAAAGAGAAACTCAAGTTTTACACTATTCAGTATCCTTTACTATAGTTAAACCTAGAAATGTGCGTTTTAGCTGTTGAGCTGAAGACAGTACCATTTAATAAAATGGGGGTCATATTGTGACACAAAGGTTTGACTTTCACATGTTTTTTGGGAGCAATAATAATCAAACAAGTGTATTTTAGACAAAATTTCACGTTTGAACATAAAATCACATGTCATAACTGTGCTATTGCAAAATGAACAGAAGCCGTTATGGGGTCAGTGATGAATGGTACAGTCCATCGTATGTGAGTAGTCGCTGTAGCTTCAGTTTGCGTGCTGCTGCAGTTTCCTGTGAAGGTTTGATGCAGGAGAGAACCATGGCGGCCACTGAGATAGCACGACAAGCGGTAAGAGCGCTCTTTTGTTACTAAGATGTGTTTTCGGATTACCAAACTAGACTTATGTGTGTAAATCAGCCATTTTAGATGGAGCGAAATATACGTTAGTAGAACCCAACAGGTTTCGCTTTTCATTTATTCGTTAACGTAACGTTAACGGCCCATTATCCACAAACTGGTCAATTATGTCTGATAATAAACAGCTGCTGTTGTTTGTGGACACGATTAGAAAGTATAAGCACACTCGCTGCTCATTTGAAACGGCATTGGTTTCCCCATTTAGCTTTTTTTGGAGGGGGAAATAGATAGATGTTGAGGGCCAACAATAACTGGCGAACGTAACGGTTTGAAGTGTCTACTACCGATCTATTTTCTAAACCAACGATAAAATACTATTATATTCTTAAACATTACCGTACGTGATTCCAGAATCCATTTAATTTAACCGCGTTTAATAAAGCTGTAATTAATTGCATTAGCATCCTTGCCTCTTTTGAACGCTGGGCGTTGTCTATCATTAAATATTTCGTGCACTCATGTCAGAAACTGACATGTAAACCAGTTTCAGATGTGTTTTGTAGCAGTCTGTGTTCTGTGCATTTGACGTCTCTAATGCAAGTACGCACCTAACGTTAGCAAAGGCAGCAGACACAGGGCTGAGTTCAAAAGCTGATAGATGAGATAAACGACGTTAAGTCAGTCTTTACTAGAGAAACCAGACATCTGAACCAGTGTTTTCTGGTTACAGGGCAGCCACTGGGGTGTTCCAGTCATGATGGCACCCCCTTTGATTCCTTACAGTTGTCTGGTTTGGGAATGTTGCACATGTGGGTCAATTGTGACAGTTTGTTCGGTCAATAAGATGCTCTCAGTCTGGCTTCTCTCAGTTGCCTGTTTTGTATTTAATGAGCAGTGCAATTGGTTGTTGATGTTTGACTGTTATATCTGTTTTTTTATTGGTACTACAGCTAACATACAAACGTGTGCTGTTGATCAAATGTTTACTGTTAATTTCAGTTTAGCTTAAATGAATGGTTCGTTCTAAATCTCAAAAGTTGTGGGTATTTACTTGCATTTAGGCAATCCAAGATGTAGGTGACTTTTATATTCTAGTAAAACATTTTGACATTTTTAAGTTTTAAAAAGTAAAATCATAGTTCTTGGTAAATCATAACATGCAAGTCAGTGATTACAACACTGAGATTAAAAATAAAAAGGCCCATGGGATAAACTAAATTAAGCTCGATCACTAAACTCTTGTGAATTCACTCAGAAGTCTTTGAGGTTGAGTCTTGAAGTAATCTTTTTCTGTTTCTTGCACTACTAAGGATTTTCTTGATAACGCTTCAGTGTATAACCAGTGGCCATGGGTGTTTATTTTATATGTAGACTGTTTTTTTTTACTTTTATAACACTGGTAGCTATTAACTTTTATTATATGAAGCACAGAGGGCTGCATTTAGAAATTATTTTTAATGTTCTGCTGAAGAAAAAAAATTGCTTGCATATTGGAGGGCTTAAGTGTAAATGTATCAAGAGGGAAATTAAAATTGAGTGAGCTATCGCTTTAATGAAATGTTTCCATTTGCATATTGGATTTTTTTTTTTAACATTAGACCTTTTCTGACTGAATGCTTGCCCTTCTTTTTTATTATTCTAGCAAAAATCCACTGATTTGGCACATTCACTGTGCTCCTCGTATAGGCCACACATATGCAAACACCCACACACCAAAGGATATGCTGTAAATGTGGGCAGACAGCCTTTCCTGTCAGAGTTTTTGCAGACCAGGTGTGAACAATGGCAGAGGAAGTGCTGGAGTGGAATACAGATCAAAATTTGACATTTGTGTTTAGTTATTGACAACCGTTTTGCTACACAAGTATCTTACAGGTTACTTGATAAGGGAAACATTGGTCTGCAACTGCAGATGGTTTACGTGTTTGTTTGCCTGATTGTGGTTTCAAGAGTTGAGATCAGACAGGAAAGAGGAAGTGCACAGAGGAGAAACTAGAGATCTGTACTACAGTATTACAAATTGTACTGGGTTTGTTTTTAAATATTTTTTGTATTCTTATAAATGCATACAAAGACTTTTTTTGCATTGCTACCAATGAGAAACTGTTCAAAGAATCGATTTTTTTAAAAGTTGTCTTGCTTGTTTCATTTATATGCTTTGCTTTTCTTGTATTTTAGGGAGAGGGTGCACGTGCTGTCCCACTCTCTGGTCATGTTGGCTTTGACAGCATGCCGGACCAGCTGGTCAACAAGTCCGTCAACCATGGTTTCTGCTTCAATATCCTCTGTGTGGGTGAGTGTGTCATGTGGGAGCTCCTTTTTACTTGGGGCAAAACTAAGCATTTGCTTCAGTCTATGTCACACCACTCCACTGCGTACACATACTGATTTTGTCCTGTGACCCACTTACTAAATACTGGTGCACTGATGGAGAGCAGTTGCAGGAACTTGGGATTTAATTTCATACTATCAGTTAAGTGATAGTATGAACGAAAATCATCATTAAAAAAGATTATTGCAAGTTAGTTTTTTGAGAATGCTGGTTTGCAATAAAATGCATCATTTAGGGAAAATTACAGAAGCCGAAAAAGGTTAAACATGATATGAGTTAAATCACATACGCAAATAGAAAAACCCTAACGAATTGAGAAAACATCTTCAACGCACACACAAATTCTTACAGCACATGCAAATACAGAAACAAGCTGCAAGTAGGGTACAACAGTCAGGGTATCTTCTGTCTATTCCATATCCATTTTAAATTTTTGTGCACAACTTCTTGCACACCCTCAAATATATGCTGCTCAAGCGCAGATTTTGTTGTGCACTCTCAAATAAACGCTGCTGAAATGCGATTTAGTGCATTTATGTAACAAGTATGTCTCCAACATTTATTAGATTTTTTAGGAATATTTATTAATGTCTCCAAATAGACCTACTGAACAGCATTGATGCATCCTGAAGTAAAGTGAAACGGTCATAAACTCCAGCAAGATAAAGTCATTGAATGCCGAACCGTAGACCTTTATCCATAAGTAAAGTATAATTATGGATACTATTCATTATAACTGAAAGCTATGTTGTGTTTGCTGGCCTCGCGGATCACACAGCCCTATCAGTCAGTCAGTCAGCATGTAACCTTTAAAGGATTAAACAATTAACACACAGCACTACGATGATTACAGAAAAGTTTGCTCTGTTTTAATTCACTTACATTTTAATACGTTTTGGTGTGATTATAACCTGCTATAAGAAAAGTAACAGCAACAACTGAAGGTTTTTAATTAGAAGCTGTAATGAAGCTGTGGCAGGAACGATTTTTGGTGTGGTGCTCCTGCTGCTCCACCATGAATGAATGTAGCGGAAACCATGCAACCGAGCCATTGGTATTGTCAGTATAACATGCCATTTCAAAAAAACAAAATATTAATTTACTGTTAATTTTGCCCTTCTTCAGATAATTAGGCCTAAAATTATACAAACAAAAAAACAAAGGACTTCCTGGTTCATGATTTGTCACTTTTGGGGTCCCCCCGACATCTTTTTGTTGCAGTTTGTGCTATTTGCAGCATGTTTTTGTATTTGCATATGTCGTGAGAATTTGCATGGTCCTCTGTTCTCAAGTTGCTGGAGATGTTTTCTTAATTTGTTAGTGTTTTCATATTTGCATGCGTTTTTATTTTATTTATTTATTTATTTTTTTACTTGCACTGCAGCATGTTTGATCTCTCTTGACCGCCAAGAGAAAACTGTTTTGTCCCTATGTGTTGTATTGATAAATTTGTTGTGGGAATAAATCGACGTTTGAATTGGATCAAAACTTATTGAACAACAACCATGAGACAATTTTATTAACTTTTTTTTATTTGATCCACTTCAAATGTTGACTATCGTAAGGATGAAATAAAAAGTCTATTGCATATATTATGCTTTATCATTTATTAAGTGGTGTCACAAAATAAAGGGTTTACAGTAATAATATTCTTAATCTAAATGAGCACAATGTTACATTCCATTATGAGGATGCAGACAGAAACATGAATAACAGCATCGTGTCAGTGAAAGCCAGATGGCATTTTTTGATTGGACCAGCACTGGTGTCTTTGTATTTCAATTCATTTAATGTTGAGGTGTAACACATGTATGCCAAAGAGGATGATATTCATAAAAAGCACCAAAGCATACTGGGTAATCTAATGTGGTGAGAGGAAGAGGAAGTAGGCCTTACACAAGGCAGAGATACATGTGCAGTAATGTGGGTTACACCTGGGTCTTAGTAATTATACATAAACTTGCCATTTAAAGGGATGGTTTACTCACAAATAAAAATTTATTCACAAATTTCTTCTCAGTTTATTTTTTCTGTTGAGCTCAAAAAAAGATAATTTAAAGAATGTTGTAATCCTGCAACCGTGGACATTCATACTAGAAAATAACAACTGCTATGGGAGTCAGTTGTCCTATTCAAAATATCATCTTGTGTGTTCAGCAGAAGAAGCTCAAATAGGTGTGTTACAAGTAAATTATGACTTCAAAAGAGTATCTTTTTGTTTTGTGAGTGAATTGTCCCCTTTAAATGTTGACTAGTGAAAAGCATTCTCATAGCTTAAACAGCAGAGCATGGTGCAAACTATGTCATGCACTGCCATGTGATTTTATAACAGGTGCTGTTTTATTTGTCTGTGTACATATGAATGCAATCATTTTAGTTTGCTAAATGCATAAACTACCATAAAAGTAGTAGTAGTTTTGAGTTTATTAGAAGATTTTTAAAGAAGCAAACTACCAAATCTTACATGCACACAATGATATTCTCTCACTTGTCATATTGATTACCTCATGGTCACACGGCTATTTAACTATAGTGAAGCCTGACTTAATATATAAACAAGCAGTTATAATTATGGACTTAAAGCAAATGTAATGGCATCATTGTGACGTTTTATGTAGAAATAAACTTTTTAGTTTTATTAAATTTATTTATCATATATATATATATATATATATATATATATATATATTTTTTAAGATCTAATCAGTAGGCAACTGCAACTGCTAATGGTGACTGTCTTGTACCAAAGTGTAAGACCTCTTTTGGTCAATCTGTTTTCTTTGTTAAGGGAACCAAATTGTGTAATAATTTGCCTGTTAGCCTAAAATTATAAAGTAATATGAATATTTTAGTAGTGTTCTTAAACGGTTAAAAACAAAACAGCAGTGTTTGCACAAATATGTCATGCCGCCTTTGCTTTTGCCAACAGCAATTGTATGTAAAGAATTATAATGTTATGTATGTGTATCTATTTTATTTACATTTTGTCAAGTCAAGCTTCTTGTGGACAGATGTTGAGAATTAGTGAGCTTCCAAAACGCTTAATAACATTTGGTTGTCCAGTGTAATTGTGATGTTCATGTCAAATAAATAATAGTAAATAGTAAAAATCTGTACTGTTTCATATTTGCTTGGTTAATTGTTAGTATGTTTAAATATCTATAGATGCTTGGACTGAAGATTATATATTTTATAAATAATAAAGAAATGTAATAATCAAATATTTACAGAATTTATTCACCTCACATTTAATCCATATTTAGTTTCTGGTAAAAGCTAGCTAATTATACATGAATATACATATGATTTTTTTTTAAATCAAGATAATGGCTAAAGAGATTTTATAGCAACCTATGAAAGACTGGCGAAAAATGTCTAGAAACAAGTTTTACTCAGGAATTGATTGTAACAGTTGCTAAGAACTAAAACACATTTTCTTGGTAATATACTCCATCTTTGTTTTGTTTTCAACTTGATGATGCTCTCTACCTGGTAAGAAACCAATAGTTTCAAAAATGCAAGTAAACTCTACAAGACTTTGTTCGTGTACCTGCAGTGCTGAATATTCGTCATGCATTTTTTCACTTTGCAGTTTGAATTATTTATAAACCGTCATTGTTTCAGATTCTGTGTTAGCAGCATGCACTAAAGTTTATGGCATCTGTCAGAGCTTTTATCCCAATTTAGCCAAACCTCTGAGGAAGAAAGAACAAAGAACGCTCTAGAAACTAAAGTGAATTTGGCAAAGGACTGTTGTCAAGCAGGCTTTTCTCCTCTTCATTCTTGATTATTGTGTGAAGTTCAGGTATAATGAATACTAACTGCTTTGGCATGCTGTAAATATCACGCAGTGTGTATCAGAAGAAAAGCAGTGATGCAATTCATGTAACTATCAGCTGGAATTGTCTTATGAGGAAGAGAATCAGTGTGCCGTTTTAAATGTAGTCTCGTGAATATCATACCTTGTGATGTTCAGGGTGAGAAGTCATCAGTTTAATTTTAGGTCTCAGAAGAGGCCTTTTGGTTTGAAGTAGAGCTGTGCAATATTATACACTCACAGGCCACTTTATTAGGTACACCTTACTAGTACAGGGTTGGACCCCCTTTTACCTTTAGAACTGCCTTAATCCTTCATGGCATAGATTCAATAAATAAGTTGGAAAATTCCTCAGAGATTTTGCTCCATATTGACATGATGGCATCACGCAGAATCTCCCATTCTGCCACATCCCGAAGATGCTCGATTGGATTGAGTTCTGATGACTGTGGAGGCCATTTGAGTAAACTGAACTCATTGTCATGTTCAAGAAACCAGTCTGAGATGATTTGCTCTTTATGACATGGCGCGTTATTCTGCTGGAAGTAGCCATCAGAAGATGGGGACACTGTGGTCATAAAGGAATGGACATGATCAGCAGCAAACTTGGGTAGGCTGTGGCGTTGACATGATGCTCATTTGGTACTAATGGGCCCAAAGTGCACCAAGAAAATATCCCCCGCACCATTACACCACCACCACCACCAGCCTGAACTGTTGTTGCAAGGCAAGATGGATCCATGCTTTCATGTTTTTAACATCAAATTCTGACCTTATCATCTGATTGTCACAGCAGAAATCGAGACTTATCAGACGACAGCATTTTTCCAGTCTTCTATTGTCCAATTTTGGTGAGCCTGTGCGAATTGTTGCCTTAGTTTCCTGTTCTTAGCTGACAGGAGTGGCACCTGGTTTAATTTCTGCTGCTGTAGCTTATTCGCCTCAAGGTTTGACATGTTGTGCGTTTAGAGAAGCTCTTCTGCATACCTTGGTTGTAACAAGTGGTTATTTTTGTTACTGTTGCCTTTCTATCTAGCCAGAGTGGTTCAACCTTTTTTTTTTTCTCTGGCATCAACAAGGCATTTGCGCCCACAGAACTGCCGCTCACTGGATATTTTCTCTTTTCCAAACCATTCTCTGTAAACCCTAGAGATGGTTGTGCATGAAAATCCCAGTAGATCAACATTTTCTGAAATACTCAACCAGCCCGTCTGGCATCAACAACCATGCCACATTCAAAGTAATTTAAATCACCTTTCCTCCCCATTCTGATGCTCAGTCTGAACTGCAGCAGATCGCCTTGACCATGTCTACATGCCTAAATGCATTGAATTGCTGCAATGTGATTGGCTAATTAGAAATTTGCGTTAACGAGCAGTTGGACAGGTGTACCTAATAAAGTGACCGGTGAGTGTGTATACTGTATGAACAAAGTAAAAGTTTATGAATTCCTTTTGTGCTCTTTATTTCTTGCTGTCACAAAATACATTGTTTATTTTACATTAATATTTTTCCTAATTTAAATGAGAGCATTGTTGCATGTCTTACAAAGGTGCAGACACACATTGTGTGAAAGTTTTAATCTTAAAGTGCAATATTTTTTTTATTTATATTGTGTTATGTTGTTATCAGGGTATTAGATTACTTGTATCGTGATATGCAATTTTTGTAATATTGCTCAGCCCTAGCCTGTAGTGAAAGCATGAAAGAGGCTTGCGGGAATGGGATTTGCAGCCCGAGTTTGAGAAAACGGCAAATGTGAGCCATCCATATAATTAACATTCTGGTGGTGTTGCATGATGTCCATTTCTGCTGCGCTTGTGGTTGTCAGGAGTGCAAGAATAGGACCTTCAGGCAGACCGAGCCAGGACTGCTGCACGGCTTTTAGACTTGCACACAGATTAAATGGGCTAAAGTGTTTGCATCAGCTGAAAGGAGAATTTTTTTTATATTGAAGCTGACAAAAATATGTATGCTATAATTTAACAAACTATATTTAGAATATCCTATACATGGCATAATCTGAGGATTGTGGATGTAAAAGTTGGTATCTTGAAGATTGTAGAAAATTTGTGTGTGGTAGATAAGCTGATGTGTTTTTGTTACAGGGGAGACGGGTTTGGGAAAGTCAACCCTCATGGACACCCTGTTTAACACCAAATTTGAGGGCGAACCTACACAGCACAATCAGCCTGGAGTGCAGCTCAAATCCAACACTTATGAGCTGCAGGAGAGTAATGTCCGACTCAAGCTCACTGTGGTCAACACTGTAGGATTTGGAGACCAGATCAACAAAGAGGACAGGTAAGATACATATTTGCCCCCATTTGCAGTACATTGTTTTACATGTGGTCAGATGTGCTGTGTTATACCAAAGCACATGGATTAAGTTGACATCCTCGCATCTTTCTTTCACTTGCTTTTTTGTGCTCATTTTAAGCATGTAACACATTGATTGATTCAGTTTTTTCACATTGAGTACTTATGCTCTCAATGAGTACGATTACATGGACACCAATAATCAGATATTAATAGCTTAAGACAGTACTCTGATTAAGAGTCTACCATGTACACAGTGATTTTTGATAAATTAATCTGATTTAAGAATCATAATGAAACTAAACAAATCAGATTAAATGTGGAGTATGTCAATTTTAGTCGCAATATTGAAGTGCAGTACAGACATGAACACATACATACATACAGAACACATTAATTAAACAATTACCATCGTGCAGGATTTTACCATGTTTTGCAACAGGATATTTCATACACACACGACTGTTTGATACTATTCTCTGCACCTATTGAGTCAGTGAAGGACCACAGATACACACATCGTGAAATGCAGAGTTTTTTTTTCCTCATCGGCGTGTGGTATTAAATTCCATTAACACAACCCTCTTCCACCAGTCCTTAATTTGTATTCTTATTCAATACCTCAGTTTGTCAGGGGGGCATAAATGAAATATTCCTAAATGAAGGTGAGTGCTGAACTGTAGTTAAAGCTGAAAAATTAGAAATAAAACACCCGAAATTACATAAAACTGAGGAAAGGTGGATAGCGCTGTAACGCAACGACATTAATCCATCAATGTGCTATAACATGTAAACCGGATCATGAAAGGAACATTTAAAAAGCAACATGTAAACACCTTAATCATATTATTGTGTTATTCAGATTAAGGCAAATATTTTGATAACTAATATCCATGTAAACATAGTCAATAAAGTCTAAATGCCATTGCTCAGAATAGACACATGTCAGGTGGATTCAGGGTTGTAGTTTCTGTAACCAGTGACCAGTGGCCTCATGTATGAAGACTTGCGTTGAAATCATACTAAAACATTGCGTACGCACATTTACAGCAAAAAATTCAGATGTATGGAACACTGCTTATGCAGAATCCCACGCATATTCTCTTTGTACATCCGAATTAATGTGAAACTGAGTGCACGAGCGCAAAACCCCTCCCTGCCTCCTCCCCCGTGAGAATATGCTAATGACTCTACGTTGGCAAAACCAAACGAAAAAGCAATGGCAAAAGCAAGCAAAAAGAGAAACTTTGAACAGAATGTGAATTGGAGGTGCTCCTTTTGTTGGTAGACGGGAGAAAAACAGTGTTTTTTTGCAAGTTAGCCCTTCGGAATTAATAACAAGAGAAAAAGTGGGAGAGTTTAACTGACGTGGTTAACGTGGTTGGGTCTAAACATCGCACTGTGAGTGAGTTAAAAAAGAAATGGTCTGATGTAAAGGTGTAAAATTTTGTAGTGTCTATAGCAACATGAGTGGCGTAGCTCGTAAAGCGCATGGCAACATATTTTGACACGTTCGAGCATGAACTCGGTTCGAATCCAGCGTCTGAACTCATTCTTCTTTTTCCCCATTACATATCAGATTTTGCCTACTCTTCATTACGAGGAACACAAGTAGGAATCATTAATAAGTGTGTTTGTATTATGTTAAGCGCATTTGAGCATCATATTTTATTTGCACATTTACTGAATGGCGCCTTTATAGCAATGTGCGTGCAGTAGATCGCTCCGATTACATTGGGAAAACAGGCGATTGATGTAAATTGCGCTTTAATGTTTGGCTGGTCAACTGCATGGTATGGAAACCTTATATACCTGCTAGACATGCAGATGATCCTGTCCCATACAGCTGCTCAAAGATACTTTGTAGTGTGCAATTTGTCATGATTGCCTCTAGGAGTCGCCAGTGGAAATAAAACAAACACACACAAGAAATGCACGTACGCCTGACATGAATTTGACGTGGACCAACGCACATTACCAGTATCTTATAATCTACTTTTAGCTTATTTTATTAAAATGTTTTTCCTAAACATTCTCTAATGCCCTGTATTTTTAGGACTGAAGAGCTTTTGACATGCTTTTTAAATTTAAGAAAAAATGTTTTTCCTGCTTCTCTAGATCCGTGTCACATGACACTTATGTGCACAGAGCTCATTGTAATGTAGAGTTTGGATGGCATTGTGAAACCAGATATTTTTAGGGGGTGGAGTATTTCCTTATTTCTTCAGGTTTCTGATGCCGTAGGCTTTGAGTGCGGCAGTTGTTAGATTACCAGATATGACTAAAACAACATCTTTACTTAAATTGCCTGAAGATTTGTTTTCAGATCTATTCATAGATGCCACAAATGGTGTCAGAGCTTTATACATATTTGTTTTATGATGTTCACATTTAAGAGAAAATGCCCCTAAAGTTCTTTTTGGCCACGAACTCCTTCTAAACATGTCCTCACATTTTACTTTTCAACAGTTACAAGTCTATTGTGGAGTTCATCGATGCTCAGTTTGAAGCGTACCTTCAGGAGGAACTGAAGATTAAACGCACACTACACAGTTATCATGATACACGGATCCACGCTTGCCTGTATTTCATTGCTCCCACTGGACATTCGCTTAAGTCCCTTGACCTGGTGACTATGAAGAAGTTGGACAGTAAGGTAAGGAATATCATTCTATTTTTGAGAAATGCTTGCTCAGGATTTGAGCCAAATTTACGATGATAAACACACTAATACAGTGCACTATCATTAAACCAAATGATATTCTACTAGATTTTTAATGCCATTATAGCTAAATACTGTTCGCTCTGTGTCTCAGCATTATTTTCTGTTTGTGCAGTGCAGTTTTCATGTTTTCAGATGTGGTTTATTAAGCATTCAGCTGATGGCTATGCCATGTTTAATGTCACTGGAGCTGTGTAGATGGAGTCAGTGAAGGTCAGCTGTGTTATACTACATTCTCTTTCATCTGTCTGTGTGCTGCACAGACCCCCTCAACAAAGATGCTCTCTTGGACCTAAACAGTAGCCTTGTATGCTTGAGAAAAGATTTGTGTGTGCTCACACTGAGGGTAAACCTTTATTTAGAATATCTGCTTCAGTCTTACATTTCATCAGTTGTAAATTGTCAGAAACAGACGATGTGTATATCTAGTGGGCAGTCTACTGAGGGTAGTATTTAGATGGTGGTGTGGGTGGCAGGAGTGTAAAAATTGAGTGAGTGAGATTTGAGTACTCCGTGTGTGTGTGTGTGTGTGTGTGTGTGTGTGTGTGTGTGTGTGTGTGTGTATGAGGGTCAGAAGTGGAGGAGGGGCGTTCGATCCTCTCCCCCCACTAGCATGGTTACCATTCATCCTGCATGGTTAGTTTTAGCCCTCATGAGACCAGAGATTATCAGACTAATTCATCCAAAAATAAAATCATTTACTCCTCCTCACACTGTTCCCATATACCTGTCTTTCATGGCAAACAACAGATTCATTTTAGAAGAAGAGTCAGCAGGCCATTGTGTTTGACAGTAAATAGGACTGTGACTTATAGGCAAACTCTCCCTTAAATATCCTCTCTGAGCTGGTTTCAAAGTGAATAACAAATAGCTGCATATGGTGAATTCTGTTCCAATTTGAGGACGTTCAGATGTGAGAGAGCATTGGTTATGTAAGCCTTCATAGGGTTCTGTGAAGTTCATTTTAATTGCATTAGCTGCTTCTAATTAAAAATGTAAAAAGAAATCTCTTACAGCACTGCAGCAGCATCTGCATATACAGTAGAGTGAAATAAATGCAGTCTTTCCTGTAATCTGTGTACCATTTGATTTTGTTTGCTCAGGCATAAGAGATGAGCATCTATATTTATCTGGATTCAGACAGATGTTCTGAGGTTGATTACACCCAGAATTAGTTATTTACTGTGTGAGTGGTTGAAAGTTTACTGTCTGAAGGGGAAATATTTACTCACTAGGGCCATTTGAGGTTTTATATGTCAGTTTGCATTGATGTCATCCGACCACTGCTGTTCTGGCTTATTGTTCTCATCTTAATTCCTCTGCAAATGCATTGATTTAAATGTGCACTAAGCTAATTTCGACAAACAATGTTGATATTGGAAAGCACCAAAACAAGCACTCCCATAACCCAACAGGACCTCTTTTTACATCCCTGCTATAGTTACTAAACGCAGCTATTAGTGATGATTGGATGAAAGGATATAGGGCTGCACGATTAATCAAAAAAAGTTTGCGTTTTTTATTTTTTATTTCTCCATGATCTTAATTCAGCATTTCTACGATTCAGTCAATTATATTTTTAAGTTCGGGAGAAGCATAAAGCAAGTCTTCACATTGTTTTATGTTGCTCAGCAATGTGGACACCTCCAAAGGATGTTAAAAGTGTCACATACTGTATTTATAAGGCATAATTCACCCACAAATGTAATTTCTGTCTTAATGTAATGACTTGTTTGGGGCCGTGAAATTACACATGAGCTGTAACACTGTTTGTTCTCTTCCGAGAGGACGCTCTCGCTAATGGTGTCTGCTTTAGTGAACAGAACTTGCATATGCTGTGGATAACAGTTAATGAAATTAATGTTTTTTTCTTTCGTATCGACCACAGAGTATTGTGCATGAAAATAAATGTTTAACACTGTCACAATAACTACTAGCCTCTATAATGTTAAATGTAATGCAAGAATCTGAGTCTTATAATAACAAATGTCTCGTTTTACCAGTGGGAAAAAATGGTCTAATAATGTTTGTCAGTGACAATGACAAGCATATATCTCAAACAGTAATTCAACTTTAGAATTATGATTAGTTGTATTCTGATGTAATCACTTGATTGGCAATAATGACCGGGACAAATTTAAAGTCTACTCGAGTCTACACCAAGTCCAAGTCTATACAAAATTTACCATTTTAACCAAGAGTAGACTTACACCTATGCCTAATATTATTATTGTTCTTTTACCATATATTTGAGAAATAACTATAACAACAGACTTCTCATATTGACATTTTTTTACATTTAAAAAATTGTGAGAAAATTGTGAGCTTAATTTTAAAGAAAACAAATCATGATTCTTATTTTAGCCAGAATCGTGCAGCCCTAGAAGGGTATTTTGCAACTTGGGATACTGTGGTCAAAAGCATTTATAAATTATTGCTTGGTGCACCTTTAATTTGTGTTGACTTTTCTTAAATAGGTAAATATCATCCCCATCATTGCCAAATCAGATGCCATTTCAAAGAGTGAACTTGCCAAGTTCAAAATCAAGATCACGAGTGAGTTGGTGAGCAATGGCGTCCAGATCTACCAGTTTCCCACTGATGATGAGACCGTGGCGGAGATCAACTCAACTATGAATGTAAGGATCAAACTGCTGAATTTCATTCACATTCATCCCTGTTGTTGTGTGCATGAAGTATTATTTTAATTTGTGCTAAAAAATTGTTTTTAATGTGTAATAATTTTTTTAAATATATTTTTTAAATCTACCAAAAATTGAATGCAGATTTTTATGCTAAAATTATTTTTTGAACTGAACAACAGAATGCTAACCTTAAAAGATTGGATAACCTTATATGTCGCACTGTATATTTCAGGCAAAAATAAAATAAAAACATGCAGCTACATTAGAATAGGTTTTCAAGTCTTAAATTCAGTTACTGTGAGCAATATGAGAAAAAAATCCTCTCACAGGATGTTGGTAATTATCTAATTACTTTAGAAAAGATTTAAAATGATGTGGTTTTCTTTGACTTAAAGGGGATAGATTTCCCAATTAATTACCCAAAAATGTAACTTGTAGCTTAATCCTCCACCTGTTATTCTAAACCTGTTTGAGTTGTTTTTTCCTGTTGAATACAAAAGATATTTTGAAGAATGTTGGAAACTGGTATCCATAGGTATGTCAATGGCTTCTGATTTTCAACTTTCTTTAAGATATGCTCTTTTGTATTCAACAGGAAAAATGAACTCCAAAGCAGTGTTGTAACCACTTGAGGGTGATTTTTCTTTTTTGGCTGAACTGTGCCTTAAAAATCTCTTGTGTTAAATGTCATATATGCACTATGTTCTGTTTTGCTTGGAGACTAAGCGTTTTCTACTTTAGTGCTTGGCCAGTTCTTATTTCATGTCATAGTTTAGCAGTTTAAGTGAGAAAGAGTCCATATGGCGTCCAGCTTTTCCTGCCTGTGTTTGCTCACAGGAATTGACACCACAATAGGAGAGGCATTCTTCATCAGTTTACTCTCACAGCATGATTGTACTGTGGGAAAGACACACTACAGATGAATGAATGTCAGTCTCTCCACACAGCCCATGCCTACAGGGTTACTGCTGGGTTCATCCAGTACTGGCTAACCATTGCAAATAAAGATAGCTGACCTTAGGACCATCCTGCTTGTTTTAAGTGGGATGTTCCCTCATATATTTGTCTCAGTGATTTTGTAGATCATTCTTGTCTTTTAGACAAGACCATTTTAGAATAGACCATTTTGTTGTTTTTACTTTTTTATTCTGAAAGTCATTCTCACAGTTTTTTGCATTTATTTAATAAATACACTAAAATGACGATATTTTGGTAACTTGTAATACAATTTTGTCATGATTTGAAAATATTCTAAATAGTAAACCATTCTTGTGAATCCAAATTAGAATATTTAGCCGTAATTATTACTTATCTTAGTTATAAATGTTGTAAACAGTTTTAATATTTTTTGGATTTTTAATTTTTACTTTTTCCCCAAGAGTCTTGTATAACTGAAAGTTAAAAAATTGCATTTTTTTGCTAAATAAAATCGTTTGTATCATTACTCTATCACTTTTGAAATACCCTTTGCCAAAACCGGTCACTAAACATTTCTTTTTATTTGCCCCTTTATGTATCTACATTGAATTAAATGCTGTGTCATCATGGGTATTTCTGTAAGAATTAAAGTGTTTCTGTTAATAATTTGTTTGTGGGTTTTTTTTCTGCAGGGTCATTTGCCTTTTGCAGTGGTGGGAAGCACTGAGGAAGTGAAGATTGGGAACAAGATGGTGCGAGCACGCCAGTACCCATGGGGAACCGTCCAGGGTAAGTGCCGGTCACGTCTTCTAGAGGAAATGACACTGGGCTCTTCCCTCTGTTTGGCCGTGGCCTCTTTGTTCAGGATGTCCAGACCCAACCCATCCCTGGCTTTCTCTAGCATTTTGTCTGGACACTCCCACGCTACTCGCAATTTCTTTTCTCTTTTTTTCCACAGCAGGGTGTAATGTTAATGTATTAGATCTGTCAAAAAGAGAAACTGAGGTGTAATTTTCATTTGACTTATGATTGTGGAGCTACAGGAAAATGACATCAGCACAGTGCTGATTTGTTGTTTCATAGCATACACAAAGCCATCACTGGTTGCTATTCTGAGAGGTGAAGTGAAAGGCAACAGGGAAGAAGAAATGTATTTTTTAAACTTTTTTTTTTAAAGATCGTCTAAAAACAGAACTGGTTAAACATCTACTTCATGCTCTACTACTGATTATTTTTGTTCATTCTAAATAATGCAGCCTTGTTAAGAAGACTTTTTTTTTTACTTTTCTTCCCCATTCTGAACTGCAGCAGATCGTCTTGACCATGTATACATGCCTAAATGCATTTCAGGCTGGTGTTGGTGTAATGGTGCGGGGGATATTTTTTTGACACACTTTATGCCCATTAGTACCAATTGAGCATCGTGTCAACGCCACAGCCTACCTGAGTATTGTTTTTTTATCCCTTTATGACCACAGAGTACCTATCTTCTGATGGCTACTTCCAGCAGGATAACGCGCCATGTCATAGCGCCAATCTTCTTAGACTGGTTTCATGAACATGACAATGAGTTGTTTCACATCATGGATGTGCAGCTAGCAAATCTGCAGCAAATGCATGATGCAATTATATCAATATAGACCAAAATCTATGAGGAATATTTCCAGTACCTTGTTGATTCTATGCCACAAAGGATTAGGGCAGTTTTGATGGCAAAAGAGGGTCCAACTCGGTACTAGGAAGGTGTACCTAATAAAGTGGCCGGTGAGTGTAAAAATACAGTAAAAAAACGTAATATTGTTTGTTGCTATATAAAAAAATTCCCTAACAGGGGACATTTATTGGTTAAATACAGACAAGAAGCATGGATGAGGAAAAACAATACATTAAAAACAAAGTCTGAAAAAAGTTTCAAATATTTTCTACTGAATAATGCTGCGTTTATTTATTAATAATAAAACGGTAATAATGAAACCTTTTACACCTTAAAATAGCATGCAACGTGATTCTTCAAACATCATTGTTTTCTGCTCAAACCCACAATTTCTCTAATTATCTGGTTTAAAGGGCATTTGGACATTGTATGTTTCCAGTACAAAGATGTTCATTAGTCATGTTCCATGAGTAAGTCAAGCTCATTTCATTCTCAATTCATCCTGTCAGTCTTTATTATTGTGTGCTGAACGCATGCAGTCATTTGATGTGGAGCTTTACAGCAGCAGTGCAGTGACTCCTCAGGCTGTCTGTGACATCACTCTGAATCTCTCATCCTGCTCCCTTTCTGCTGGCACACAAGGCTGCAGGGCAGATCACGTGCTCCTACTTAATTTAGCTTCCTGCAAGCCTGACCTGACTGAAGAAAAATATTGGATATGTGATGTTTTCATGCTCCGTGTCTAGTTTACTTCAGATTTATGACAGAATTTATTCTACTACAGGACATGGATTAAAACCATATTGAAAGGAATGCAAATGTATTTCAGATAGCAAGCCTGTAAGAAAATCTCGCTATCTGCATTGGCTACAAACTAGAATATTTAAAGACCTGATATTTATTGAAAGTTCTGCTTTGTTCTTCGCTTGGGGTTAATTTGATATGCCTGAGTAGTTTTGCTTTTAGGGAACATCCATTTTAGGTAAATGCTAACAAGCTCTGCATGCTTTTCTCTTAATAACAAATGAACATTCAGCTCTAGTCTCTTCTTTAATAAGAAAGAAGCCATTAAAGTTCATTTAGAGCATTTTATAATATTTTATCTAACATTTACAGGATATGTTCACACAGATGCAAAAACAATAGCTAGAGTAAAATAAACCAATTTGACAATCAGTTATTCTAGCAGGGAGTCAGCGGATATTTCCAATGGAGTAAAATCATCTTTTTGGCTGCAATCATGCCAACCATCAAGGCTTATAGCTGAGTTGCGACAAATATCATCCATTTTATTAGAATAGCCGAAAGTAGTCAGACTGTGGTCAGGTTTAATATATTCTGTTAGGAGGAATGAGTACTTTTTGAAAGGCCATTAAGCATCCATCTATCAATAACCAAGAAAACCTTAGGAAATACAGGCAATGCACACAAAACTCTTAGAAATCCTAGTCTACCACATCTGGCCTGGCAATCACCCAGAACTCCCTTGTGGAGCCTTGCTTGAAACTGAAGGTAGCCACTCATTATTTATTTAGCAAATGCAATAAAATGTATTTGTTTATGCTGTTGCAGTAGCTGCTACAAGGGAATGTGGTGGTGTCAGAAGTACTAGATCACAGCTGCTCAGAGTTCATAGAGGTCATGTCTGTTTGTCTTCGGCTTGCGTCAATGGTGTAAATAGAAGAATGCTAGCAAAACTTATATATTTCATAAAATTAAGATATTACTATAACCGCGTTTAGGAAAATAAGCTGTTTGAATTTTCTGCCCAATTTTTCTAGCTCATTATACATTCCTGCACTCTCAAGTTATGTCAATTATTTGTCTGCAACTTCTCTATAAATAACCTCCCTCTTTAACTTTTAAGTTTCCATCATTAAGGGTAATTAATGGGTGTGGCATGTACAAGAGATTTTTCTTCTTTTTCCGTATCTCAATATATACTCTTTAAATAAAGGTTTCAAAAGTTTTATTTTGTAGCAATGCCATAAAAGAAACATTTTAGGTTCCCATAAGAATCTTATAGTGTCCTTTAAAAAAAACTTCAATAATTGAGGTTTAGTTCACCCAAAAATGAAAATTCTGTCAGTAATTTCTCACACACTTGTTCCAAACCCCAGAGACCTTCACTCATACTGAACACAAATGAAGATGTTTTAAGATGAATTTAAGAGCTCCCTCATTCTCCATAGAAAATAAGGTTCCAGAATCCCGACTTGTTTAAAGAAAAAAAACATCCTCATTCAGGTGTCTTCAGTGGTTCAATCAAAATATTGTTAAACTATGAGAATACTTTTGTGTGCTTATAACAAAAATAATGACTTTATACAACAGTTTCTTCTCCTCAGTGTCAGTATAGAGTGCTCATCCATTAGTGATGTGCACTGATCTATACCCTGGATGCCCACACACGACTTTCTTTAAAAACAAAGCACAGGTGCATCCATGGTGTATGTGACACACACACACAAAGGCTGCGTCCGAAACCGCCTACTACTAAGTAGGTACTGCATTTGAACTTAAAGGTACTACTCGGCCGTTAGAAAAGTATGTTCTATACAGTATGAATGGAAGACGTCTGAATGGAATTTGGATGCACTACATCCGCCATTTTGTCATGGCCACGTGACCTGCCTGTGTCAGTTGCGTTGCTTCATTGATTCCCATTCATGAATTCTCTCGAGGGACATCATGGGATAGCGCAGCATACATGGGATGCGCACTTCAGAATCTCGCCGGAAGTAGTGAGTCATCCGGGTATTTCTCACATACTGATTTTTGAATTTATAAATTCGGACATACCACTCAGCTCACATACTGATTTTAGCATACGTATAGTATGGAACTATGCGGTTTCGGATGCAGCCAAAGTGTACAATTTTGCAAACATGCAACCTATGCTAACTTTATTCAACAGTTTTGTCTGCTCAAAGACTGTTTTGATTTATGTGAGCGCAAAAGTATTCTTGTGGCTTGATAATATTCTGACTTAATCACTGGTAGGTATAGGGTCTGTTTTAAGGATGATTTTATTTGACCTTTATGAATTTGGAAACTTGCAGTCTAAGAAGGACAATTGCATCTAAAATACATTATTTGTATTTCAAAGATGACCAAAGGTCTTGAAAGCTTTCAAAATAATAGGAGGGTGAGTAATTTAATAATAGAATTTTAACCCTTTAAAATGATCTATCAAACCCTTTTGCACTAAATAACATTTTGTGGGATATGAAGGTTCCATGGGTGATAGTTCTGGAACCCTTTATTTCAATAAATAACTTTTTTATTTTCAGGAATGTAAGACTATGGTGATTAATACTCACTGAATATGATGTGTTTTGTGTTTTTCAGTGGAGAATGAGAATCACTGTGATTTCGTGAAGCTGAGAGAGATGCTGATCAGGGTCAACATGGAGGACCTGCGGGAGCAGACCCACACTCGCCATTATGAGCTTTATCGCCGTTGCAAACTGGAAGAGATGGGATTCAAAGACACTGACCCCGATAGCAAACCTTTCAGGTGAGGGTAAAGTCAAAATCACACCAGCTGAGCTGAAAAAAGGCTCCACCACACCCTGTCACATGAAGATCTGGATTTTGGGTATTAATGAATGATTAAACATCTGTTGTGTGTTGTTTAGCCTTCAGGAAACATATGAGGCCAAGAGGAATGAGTTCATGGGTGAGCTTCAGAAGAAAGAGGAGGAGATGAGGCAGATGTTTGTCCAGAGAGTCAAAGAGAAGGAGGCAGAGCTGAAAGAGGCAGAAAAGGAGGTACAGTTTGTTATTTTGTTGCAGTTTTGTTACAAATGTTCAATGCTTGGTATGTAGCAATTTAGCTAGACTGATTTATACAAGCAAATCCAAAAGAGTACCTTCAGTTCAGAAAAAATGTTGACTTAGGGTGCTTTCACACCTGTGAATCGATTCAGTTGTTCCGAAACGGAGATTACAAATGTTACATTGTTGCTCTTTGCTCTTGGAGTGGTTCGCTTTCACACTCCAAAGTTTCTAATCGGACCAAAAGAGCTAAAACAAGTCACGTGCGAGTAAACTCTCCTCACATTGGTCAGAGTGTCAGGGTTTATTTTGCAGCCTCCCGCTCAGGAGATGTGGTGGTTTTGTGGTGATTGACAAGGTGCGCGAGTGTGCGACGTATCTGAGGAGAGATGCGGTGGGGAGGGGTGAGAATGGTGCGCGACGATGCCTATTTGAGGACCGGGAGGGAGACGCGAGATTATCGGGAGATCATCATTCGTTTGCGGGCATCCGGAGACTCACGAAACTTCCTGCCCTACTCATAATTCTCTCTTCATATAGCTGTAAGCCTATTACATATCCATAAAACACTGTGATATAACCGCGCTCCAGGGTTCGTTTCAGTCGAGCCGAGACCACCTCACTCAGGCGGTCTCGGAGCGATTACTTTGGCGCGGAACAGAGCGCGATTGCCCTGTTCACATATGCCAAACGAACCGCGCTAACTGGGCAAACGAGACAGGTTCCAAAACAAAAGTATAGGTGTGAACACCCAAAAACCATGGGTAAATTATAAAATCTGACTTGCATGAATTTCATTTAATTTCATTTATGTAAAAATAGGCTCTAAGACAACAACAAATGCATATTAACATACATATAAACAGAAACAAATCTGAGTATAAAGCAAATATGTGGGTGCTTTGCATGTTTTGCTTGCTTGACATTAATTGCAGTATAAAAGTTATTTTGGAATATCAGCTACATCATGTTTCAGATGATGACAAATGGATATTATACAAAATGTATTCTACTAAAAACAGTTGTTCTATAACCGGACTATAGATTTAAAGCTTTGGTAGTTATTCAACAGCTAATGTACTGACTATGGTATTCACAATACAGCTGCATGAGAAGTTTGATCGCCTCAAGAAACTTCACCAGGACGAGAAGAAGAAACTGGAGGACAAGAAGAAGTCTCTTGATGATGAGCTGAACGGCTTCAAGCAGAAGAAAACTGCTGCCGAGCTGCTGCAGTCACAGAACCAGCAGCCAGGGGGCTCCGCCACACTCAAGAAGGACAAAGAGAGGAAAAAGTAAGTATTCCCTCCATGAGACATCAGAAACTCATGATGGAGACGAATGAGTGTGTGTAAATGTGTAAGGCATTTGACCAGTTACTCATATAAGATTGCAAAGGTCCTTAACTACATCATTACCAAAACTGTGAAATTCTTAAGGGTGCTTTTGACTGTCTAGGAAAAAAATGAAGCTGAAAGGTATAGGTTGAATGTACATGGTAAGAGGAGAGAAAACAAATAGTTTAATTTACTGGAATCGAAGCTACATTTATTGTAAATGCATATTTATTGTATGTAAAGCTAAAGAATAATCATTGCATCCTTTATCCTTTCCAGAATGTTACACAAATATAAGCTAGTTTTACAACGTTCTAATTTTATATACTTTTGGCTAAATTTTATGGTTTGTAAGATGATTACATTATGAATGGTACAATAGTGTATTCCCATTTAATTCAAGGCTTGTGCGATTCAATCTAAATCAAAGCTCAAATCAATTGCTTCAATGTTGCTGGTAATCACTCATGGTTGTGTATTCAAGCTGATTTGCTGCATTCGCCTGAAAATTATGTCGGAAGAAGATATTTGCACTGACAAGGTTCATGTTTTTGTTGTTTTTAATCCCAATCTTATCCAATTTTATAACCATTTTGCTCCTTAAGCCTTTTGTATGTCTTCACAAGGCAGCAGGTGAAGAAAAACATTTCTCACAGCTATGAGATGCTGAGGAAACACCGTTTATCATTGATCATCCTGCATTTTAGATGATACTTTTTGTTTTTGCATTGTCAAAAGTATCAGAACAGGCCCCTTTAGTCCAAATTTAGATCCTTACGGCCATTGCATTAAACTCAATGGTGTCTTACAATTTCACTGTCCCATGTTTGTATTTAGTTCTGCACATCATAGATATCTAGAGTACGGTTTTCCTCAGTTCTCATGCAGGCCAGGGCATGTACAAAATTCAGTGTGTGATTGTTGCATGTCAGGTGTTTTGTCCAGTTTGTGCACGTGTCATGTACGTCTCATCCATGCTGTTTTCCAGTTAACTCCTCACCTGCTCCCAGTCCTGCATGAGACACCTTATGCTGGTAAGGCTTTCAAAGTATCTCTTAAACCCTCATTCGCACGGGGGAAACTAAATTACGGAAACACATGTAACGATGATGGTCAGCTAGAGCCATCCTGTAATTGCAGAGCACTGCAGTAGTTATTACGGCGTTACTATTCATGCCTAAACACCTAAACACGAGCTGTGTGAAGAATGTCTCTGTGGTGGCAGCAGGGGATATTATGTCATCAGCGCCAGGCGAGAGTTTCTAGCTCTCCCTGTGTGATGTGCAGCCATCTGCCATCTGAATCCATAACAATCTGCTGTTGTTTGCACTCCATTGCTCATCCACATCTCGCACAAAAGAGCCTTTAATAAAGTCTGCTCCCAGTGTGACAGCTGGGTCACACTGGTCCATCACTTGGCTATAAAATAATGCAGTTGTTGAGTGAGCTTTACTGTGCCACAGACTAATTTGTAATAGTTAACACAATTGTTGCAGCTTGGATTTCCGGCTCAGCCGTTTAGTTCCAGATATAAAAACTTCATGGTTTTCTCTCTAAGGATATACATTTTTAATGTTAAATTATTGATAAACCTTTAAACACAGACTTATGAACTCAGACGTTAATTACTGCGGTACAAATTCCAGCGTAATGGATGTGACATTTGCAGTAAAAACTCAAAACATAAATTCACAGAGAAAGTATTTGTTAACATTATATTGAAACATCTGTTTATATATTCCCACAACAACTATCCACAGAGTTATGGGATCCGAAAAATATCAATTTGTAAACAGTTTTTACATTTTAAACGAGGAAAATATACGTGTTCGGGATTTGATCAAATAGGTTAATGAGTTTACAGTATACAGCATACTTTGTAGAAATTGTGAATTAAACTGCACAACCCAAAGAAACAATGTTAATCTAAAGGATAAGAGTTTGCTCTCTAAAGAACAAAAATAATTTATTACATTTATATTTTACATTTTTTGTATTTATGAGGAAAAGGCTTCATTATGGATGTGACAAATGTGAAATTTCCACTTGTGTGACTTTGGTGAATCAAATATAATTGTTTGAGAACATTGACAGAGACATTTTTGAGTATTTGTAAAGTATCTTAAAATACAAGCCTACATGTACAAAAAAAACGTAGAAACGGTTTTGCTATTTTGGTGAACTTTTTTATGGCAAGGTTGACATTTGCATGGAATTGCTCACATGCTTTTGTTGAAGACATCTATTTACAGTTATTAAATGTAATTTAATTGTACATTTTAAAAAAAGCTTAAATATTTAATGTTCTAGCCTTCGACTAACCTTTTAAAATACAGCAATATTTGTGTTTGTAATTTGAAATTAAGTCATAATGGGCATGTAGCCCATGTAGAAAAAAGTTCAAAAATCCATTAGTTTGCTTTTTAGAATTACAATTTCTTGTAACTTTGCACTTTACTTGCCTTCATATCATCGAAAATGTTCACATCATTTAGTCAGAAAAAAACAAAGTAATTAAATACAGTCCAGGATTTTTCCACATAGTGGATTGCAATGGGGGCCAAATATATTGCAACTTTAAAGGGCTCCCTGGCGAGGCTGTTATTAGGGAAGAACACCTCTGAATGCAAGTGTACCTGTCTGCGGACTGCAAGAGAGGGGCGTAACTTGTAGTAAGTTAGAGGCGTAACTTGCAGTTATCAAGATCCCATTGTACCATGTCACAACGAGATGTTGTAGGCAAGATAGCATAAATACTTGCCAGAGAACATTTTCAGCAAATATTTTCTTGAGTTTTCTCCAAATGTATCCACAACCAATTCATTTGATAAATTTCTATATTCATTCAATTAGCAACTCCATTCGCTGACCTCTTCGTTAGCCTACTCTGAATCGCCTCCTGTGATTGCAAATAACAGTACAATGGCGAGCGCTTTAAGGATGTAAACCTTAGCAACTTGTGGCTGTATGTTAATAACTGTGATGGTTGGGTTTAGGATTGGGGTAGGTGTAGATATTAATAACTGTTTTAACTGATGGGTACAGCACCATATTGCAGACAACATAGTTTTGACAGGTGGGTCTCTGTAATTTCAAATTAAGCCTCGACTACATGTTACGCCCCTTCATGTTACGTCCATCTTGCAGTTCACAGGCACATTCTAATCTCTGAATGCAACAGCTGCCCAATCAAAATAAGGGACTCTGGAGAGCTGTGCGATAATAAATAATAAACACATTGTTTTATATGGACTTAATAAATAAAGTTTTTTTTCACATTTTGTCTTTACCTCCAATACATTTTGCAGTGTACAATTGAAATCATAGCTGATTGACTTGATTCATTGCCCACAATGCTATAAGGATAACTAGAATCCCAATGGATTTTTAAAAAACAGCACAGCAGAATATACAATATAATCGTTTTCATTTGGCACAAAAAGAGAACAATTCGAAGCCTTACCACATACACTCCTGAACCTGCTTTCAAGTGTTTGAACAGATGCACGACTAACTCTTTTGATTATCCCCCCCTCCTTTTATTTGTTCATATGTGTTAATACAACAATTTTCAACCTGTAGGGAACAATAACCTTCCTTCTCTCTCATTTCCAGTTCAGGATTCCTGTAGAAAATGCTCCCCCTGCCCGCTGTGAATGAGCTCTTCCCTCCTCAGTGTTCCTGAGCCCTGCTGTTCCCGTTCCCTTTCCCCTTGCTCCTGTCCCCCAGTCTCATGCATAACACAGCTGAGGAGGGATATTAACTGTGAATGGAGTCCTCCTTTAAATTGTTTAACTCCTCCTTTTTTATATTTTTAAATGCCATTGTTTCTTCATTGTTTTACTTGCGGTAATGATACATGATGCTTTGATTTGCATGACTAGTGTATGATTTAACTTTAACTTGAGTGGGTACTGTTGTGGATGTGCTGTAGTGAGCACACAAGTTAAAATGAGACAAATCTAATTTTATTAGTAATCAATTGTCACTAGAATAACCATAGGTTAAATGAGCTGCTTTCACTTTAGTCATGTAGTGAGATTTGGGACATTTTTATGCTGTTAGTAGTAAAAAAAATAGTGGTTTTGTCTCATTTTAGCTTATGCATGTTATACAGATGCTGTCTGGTCATCTGCAGCTGTACCTCAATGTTTTTTCCCCATAAACATATTATTGCTTGTATTGTAGAACAACTTCACATTGGCACATTTCATCTAACTATAAGCACCTTTTATAGTTTATTTTTGGTGACTATTTTTCACAAAATTTAAATAAAGTATCATTACCTAATCATTAAATATAAATTGGAAAGAAATACTTTTTTTGTATTCATAATAAAGGGCATTCTTTCAACTTTAAACTGTGGGAAATCATTGTGTATGAATATCAGACAATACTGGATTATATTATCACATTATTCATTTGAGTGAAGACTTTTTTTTCCCCCCTTTAAGGAGAAGCTGGACTGTCTCCTGAAGAAATGTACTGTATTTTAATGTTAATCGTACAATAGTAATTACTTGATCATACATATAAATTTACTCTATTATTATTATTATTAATTTTATTATTATTATTACAAGGTTTGTAGCCTATCGAATAGGTGCTTGAACACCACCATGAGTCAAATTCCACTGAGCAAATTTTATGTATAACCAGAAGGTGAGGATAGTCTAGTTTTGGGTTTCTGCAGAAAATTACATTTATTTTCGGTCATTTAAACAAGTTGCAAATGATATATTCTAATCTACAATTAAAACTGTACTGCACTGGTCTTGTGCTGGATGACATTGTTTTGGATGGATTCTGGATGCTGGTCTTTCAACAGGTGGTATGGATGTGATTTTTGTCTATTAACTCTCTTGCTTCCTCCAGTCTCCCTGCTCACTGCCATGTGTGTATTTACTTTCCTTTGCAGTAATCCCTGGCTCTGCACTGAGTAATATGGTTTTGATAAGGGACCAGGCCCAGACTCTTTGGTTAACCGGTTCCGCAAGGCTAAAGGGGGCAGTGTGGACCTGGCCCTCTGAGCTCCTGATAGATCATCTTTTGTGTTTTAGTTGTGGCCTTTTCTGCAGCTTTTACTAATGCTATATTTTACTGTGCTGCCGCAAACTTTGCTTAAAGGGCTAGTTTTACTAAAAAATGAAAATTGTCATTGTTTACTCAAATTGTTCTAAACCTGGGTGAGTTTAATGTCCACTAAATGTGAAGTAAGATGTTTTGAAGAATGTGGGACTTTCCTATGTTTTTCCATCTACCTTTTGGCTTAAAAATATCATATTCCACAGCTTAAACAGATGTGAAGAGTGACAGTTTTCGTTTTTGGGTGGACGATCCTTTTAAAACTGGGCTTATTTGCTGTGTTTGTTTTGTGTTGTGCTTTGTCAGTAATATTAACTTTTCAGAAATATGGGGAGAGAAATGTAAATGAACCTGTTCACATCAAGCACAATCTAAAAACTATAATAGAGATTAAAAATATCATTCTAAAATTTTTACAACACAAAGTTGAAAATAAAGGTTCTTTATTGGGTTTAGTGGATTATGAAGATGCTTTATCAGCCATGGAAACTTTATGGTGAGCAAAAAGGTTAATGTTCATCTTATTAAAAAAAAAAAAAGGTTCTTTAAAGAACTGTTGACTGAAACGTGCTTTGGGGAACCCAAAGTAACCACTGCCAAGTTTTTCCCGGGAGACCCATATTTTAACATTTAAAGTTCTTAATGACCTCACTCCTTTTAAAAAAATAAAATAAATAAATAAATAATACTAGCATTTATATATTAGGTTTTTAACAATTCCAAAAGATGCATAAATATTAAAAACATAACCTTAATGTTGGCTAGATTTTTAAGTACACTGTAAAACTCAAAAAGTTAAGGTAACTCAAACTTTTTCTGAAACTAATTGCAACAAACCATTTAAGTTCAAAAACGAATCCTAATACTAATCCTAGTACTGTAAACTCAAACTAATTGAGAAAAAGAAGCTATTTAAACACAGTAAAACCCAATAAATGAAGAGAACCTATACCAACTGAGTACTGTAAAACCCAATAAGTTAAGGCAAGTCAAACCGTTTGAGGAAACTGATTGCAAAAAACCATTTGAGTTACACTAATCTTTGAGTTCTGTGAGCTTACTCCATTTAAGTTGAAGCAATGTATTATTTAAATAACTCATTACCTTCAACACTGAGTTCAAAACTCTTTTCAAATGAGTAGAATTAACTTTCAGTAATTTGAGTTAACTGCACACTTCATTTGATACAGTTGACTGTTTAGTTTTACAGTGTAATAAAATATGTTGGGTCACTTACAAATAAAGAGTTCAGATGCAAAAAAACTCTCAGCGCCGTCTGAAATTTCCATTGAAAATGAACATGTTTATCAGCTTTCTTTGTGTTCAGATATTTTACTTAAAAAATCAGGTTAAGGGCTTATTCTTTGCCATAAAAGTGATGTTACTGAACATAAACACAGAAGCCTGATAAAAATGCTCATTTTAGAGGAAAATTTCAGATGACATTAAGAGGTTTTTGCAAGATTTAGTTTCCGAATATTTGAACATTGTTTTTAGAATGTATGATGTTTATTTTTATTTATTATTTGCAAAATGCATCAATCTTTGTTGACCCCTAGTGGGGGCCGTGACCTTCAGGTTGGGAACTACTATTCTATGGCAAAACCCCATTTTAATGATCTTCATTTTGAAGAGTGCACCACATAATGAAAAACAGTGTGCTTGGAAATATCGACAGCCAATCAGAATCCATCCTGCTAAAGCTCATTTAAAGTGGCAGACAACCAAAGCAGAATGTGCTTAAGATAAACCGAATATTATCATGCATCAGTGTAGGTTTTTATATATAGTGATCATTCTTGGTGTGAACAAACCTTCGTGAACCCTGTCCCATTTAAACGATTTGATTTAAATGGTTTAGATTAGGTTGCACCCGACAAGCTGAATGGAATGTTGCATCGAGCAAATCCATGCATGTTAAAAAGCAAATTGTGCAAAGGATGCTTAATGCAGTTGAAGCAGGGCAGAAGGACGGCGTGTTCCTATACGCCCCCACATTCCCAATGCTTCATGCTTTTGGCTGGCGAATGAAAAATCGGAGTGACCATTTCCAACTGACTGATGTGAACTTGTCTTCTCACTGGCGCTGATTGGTTCGATGCCCTCCTGAAACTCTCTAATCTGCGTTTGTGTCTCCTCTCTTTCTCTAGCTTCTTTTAACTCTGTCTTGGCCACCTGTTGGAAGAGGGGATCGCAGCTTCCACAAGAACTAAGCATCCGCTCTTCTTCCTGTCTTTGTCACTCCGTCAGCCTTGTTTGAATGTTTTATTTAATTTTTTTATTTCATGCTGTGTGCCCTGTTAAACATGGCCTTATGTGGGCTTAACATGGTATTTTTCAACAAATATTAGCTCTGTTTTTTAATTGGGGTTTGCTAAGCAGTCCCTCTTTAGTATTTTTACAGGCATCATTTGCTGGTGACAACAGAGCCAAAGCTCTGGTAGAAAGGCTGTGAAGTAAAGAAGTGTTTAAGTTTAGCTTTTTGCATCTGTGATATTGCCTTGCAGTCTCAATCAACCAATCATTTAGTTGCTTTTACGAGTTCATGTGTTTGTGAATGAACCTGCATGTGAAGATTAACACAGTTTTAACTGTGAAGAATGAATGCATACTAACTTATTTGCAAACTCTACATTTTAGGATGTGAACTAAGTTCAGCAAGATTATCTTTAATAAGACTTTTTGACACACTGGCTGTGAATATTGAGCAAATCCAAAGACAATGGGCCTGAACGTTATTGCTTGCTAATGCAGCAAAATCTTAAGTCAGAGATATTTAAGGAGTTTATTTGTTTTATCTGAGAGCATGAGTTAAATAGAAGCAAAATCTGAGAGGTTTGTATTGTATGTTTTGTAATGCCCTATACATTTTACAGCACACATTTCAAGTCTTAAATAGTCACAGCAATATAGTTACACTTATTTTAATTATATTATCTTCGAGAGTAATAGAGCATCTATTGAAATACCATGTAGGTCACATTCAGTGCCATTTTTATATTCTTTATCTTCTGTTCTTCTGCATGGCCTGAACATTTATATTTAATTTCTTATTTCGTTTTGTTTATATAGAGAGTTAATCTTTACTTTGACATATTTACTCTTCTTTGGATCATTTATTCTAGGTACAGTGTGCATTCAGTTTCTAAATGGAATTTCCCATTTTGCCAAATATTGCATTTAGATATACGTCAAGGTTTTTTTTTTTTTTTGTCATTTAATGCAAGTCAGTTACGAGGTACAGATGTTCATGCATATGTGCAGTACATATACTTTTTTTCAGGACCTATTTTGCGTATCAGTGTTGAGACATGTTTCAATGATTATTGACAAGTGACTGTTTTCTGTGTAAAACATTTTGAGTGTCAAAACTGGTCTACATTTTTCTAGTCACCTTCTACATTTCCCCATTTATGTCAATTACCCTCATCCTTGTAATACCAGAAATTTGTGAAATATTTATCTGTAGTAAGATTCCATGGTGTACATTTTCAATAAAATGACAATAAATCAATTCCTATTTGCTTTTTCATAATTTACCCTTCAAATGACCCTGATATATACATATCATTGTTTAGGTTTATTGTTTAGTTGTTTACTACTTTACTGTAACTATTTAGTTACATATGTATATAATAAGTTAAGCTCAAAATAATATTATAAAAACGCTCTATGAAAGAGTTAAGAAGATAAAATACATGAAAACATTTATTTATTCTACTAGCAAGATCAAATTAACATAAAGGTTTTAAATGCTAGGGGTTAGGCGTGACAGTAGAAGTGAATTGTGTTTCAAAAACCTAGTCAGCTGCCTACCAAGACAGCATTTTCGCCCCTCATGGTGGCATGATTTGAACCAAAACAGCATATGAAGCAGATTTCTAGCGATATTTTTATTGTCAGGCTCTGAAACAACCCAACAGCGCGTTCTGCGTTTCTGCCAGTGGCCGCGGAGAGGCGCTGTCACGCAGGAATCATCCGCTATCGGCGCTCCGTCACTGGACTGTACAGTGTGTCCTTCGTCCACGCACGACAATAACATTTAGAAAGCTGTTGTTCAGTATATTCGATAAACATGTCCACTACGACCGGTGGCGGAGAGTTCGGCAACCCTCTGCGGAAATTTAAGCTGGTTTTCCTGGGCGAGCAAAGCGGTAAGTGTTAAAATATGTATGTGTATGAGACGTGGACAGATAAATGGACAGGCCAGGTGAGAGGATGCACTTGGAGGAGAGATGTTACCTAATAAACACGTAAACAATGATCTGACAGATTTTATATTTATGAGGAAAAACACTTGAAATTCAGTAAAAGGTTACCGAAAACTATTGTCACGAGCAGACTTCATGTGGTGTTGAACAGCTTTGCAGGATCCGTGCTGTAACTTAACGTTATTCGACCGACACAAGCTGCCTTTATCAACTCTTTCATGACTTATTTAATAACTTGTATGTTCATTTTACATCTTTTCTCTCTGTGTTTTTGTATTCTTGTTTGTAGACATCGAGGGGATACATCCAGTCCTTGTATTAGCATGTTTGTGTTGTCTGTACACAATAGCGATCTCCCAGCTTTAAGGCTTTTTGTGTATGATCACATTCATCACAACAATCTAACACCGATAATGCCAATTACACTGTATTAGAACTGTAAATAAACGTAATAAATTATTTATAAAAGGACAGCGCTGTCTTGTGTGAAGATGGTTGCTAGCTGTTAGCGGTTAGCATGCTTCTAGCTAGCCGGTTGTGACAATCAAGATCATGAGATCATAAACCACATCAGGGATGTTTAACTGCCACATCATCAGCGTCACATTCACGCATACGTTTATAATGGCTGGATTTGATGTCTGAAATATCACTAGTGAGCTGTCTTAACGAGAGTTTTTGCATGTCTTGGATGTGGTTATGTTGCTGTGAAAGCAGGACGGCGACACCCATGTTGCCAACACGGCGAACAGAGTTCAGACTCATCCTGCAGACCCATTCATCCCTTCCCTTTCCCACAGCTTCATAAGTTTGACGTGAAACCATGCTGTCTTTGAAGGCAACTCGCAAGATTTTGAGACGCATCTCCTGTAAGGCCCTTGGTTCTAATGTTTTGTCTTGTCTTTTCTTCCACAGTGGGCAAAACTTCACTTATCACCAGGTTTATGTATGACAGCTTTGATAATACTTATCAGGTAACTATCACATCCCATTTTATATTTATTATTATTTTATCTGTCTTATGTAAAAGATGCTTACCATGTTATCTGCTCAAATGCTTTTTTCTTAAAAGTGAACATTTTGCAGTTAATCGACTCATTATCTGTTTAATTGTAAGATTTAAATGCTGCATTTTAAAGCATTTTTTGCACTATTATTTGCTGGATTAGCTTGTTGGATGGTCATCATAATTACTCTTCTTGATGTACTAAAATATGTCCTAAAGATTTTGAGCTTAGGTGTCAAACTCAGTTTCTGGAGGGCCGCAGCTCTGCTCAGTTTTGCTCCAACCCTATTCAAATACAGCTGATCCAACTAATAAAGTTGTCCAAGAGTAATCTTGAACACCTTAATTAGTTGGATAAACTGTTTGATTAGGATTGGAGGAGTTCTTTGCAGAGCTGCGGCCCTCCAGGATTTGAGTTTGAGACCTATGATTTGGAGCAGGGGTAGGGAACCTATGGCTCGGGATCCACATGTGGCCCTTTGATGAAAAATATGTGGCTCTACAGCTGTCTCTCTCTTCAATTATATTTTAAAGTATAAACAATTATAACTGTCACTAGAAATCAGTTTCCCATTGAAAATACAATTACAATTCCCTTTATATTGTATTTTCTAGAGCAAAATGAATAAGAACTCGGTTTACAAAAAAGGACGTTTTAACCAATGCGCAAATGTGTCGCTTTGGTTAATCGTGGCACCAATAAAGGGCACGCAACTCACATTTCTATGATAACCTCATGCACGTAAGTTCAAACAACATTCATGAGTGGGGATGGCAAAGAGAAGAAATCTATAAATTGTCCTTCCTTCATATATTGTGATGCGTCATATTTGTTTACTTTTGAGTTGTGCATGGATGGACATAAATAAAGCTTTTGTTTATAAATAAAGCTTTTGTTATATACATACACACTCCCAATGGCTCTTTAATAAATGCATTTGATTAAAAAAAATCAGAAATTGCTCTTTGCTGATAAAAGATTCCCGACCCCTGATTTAGTGTAAAGAAACATGAGAACAATACTTATTTTTAAATACAAATTTATTACTTCACATATAATTAGAAAAAAGTAGTCTGTTAAATTAAAAACTAGCCTATTGTCATTTATTAGGCAAACACAAATTGACCAGCACGTTCAGCTTACCTCTTTCACGTCGAAGCAATAGACAACACAGGATTCTGCTTGGTCTTAAAGTTTTTTTTCGATGTGTTATTTTCTCAATTTCTTATGATGGTGTAACAGTCATAATAGGACAAATGAGCTCATGTATGGGACAAATTCTGCACCTTTGTCAGTGAGGGGTGGGTCTTTCGAACCACCCGGCTACGGGCCTGGCTCATGGTATTGTTGACTTTGGCTAAACTGGATTGTGAAGGCTTTTTTTCCCCAATGTTGGTCGTTAATAGGGATGCTCCGATCAGGATTTTTGCAGCAGATGCAGAGTACCGATTCCTTGTTATGGTGATTGATCGATACAGAATACCGATTCTGATGCTTCAAGCTTTATAATGCATTAAGCACATTTTTTTCCTCTAAGTATGGACTTTCAGTAAAGATCTCTTTATCTAAGATAATGAATGAAGGATTTTCCATAAAAGCCCCTGAACGTGTCTCTTAGTGTAGACATGTCATGGTCAGAAGCAGCTTTATAGAAAATACTAGATAAAATAGTCAAAAACACAGAACTTTCAGTTTTTATACATGTAAAAAAGCCTAAATACATGCAAGGCCATTCTAAAATTTAGCTCTCCAACTAGCACGTCTGTGACTGCAGCTCCTATTCTCTGGACAGCCTCACAGCAGCTCAATCGGTCGATGAGAGAGACAGGGATGTGCACTGACTGGAGAAATCTTTACTGTGCTATTCATCAAGCCTAACAAATTTAAAACTTAGAACATCACTGTGCCTTTCACAATCTATTCTCTTGCTACTTCACTCTCATCTCTATGATTTACAAGGTATTTTATCCAATTTAAAATACTTGCTCTCAGTTCACGAGATCAGCCAGATCTCCAGCCGATCAATCGGAGCATCCCCAGTCATTAATTGAATGGGTCATTCATTATCAAAATTGTACTCATTGTCTTGTTGATCCAAACATTTGTTTCTGCAATGGAACACAAAAGCAGACAATATGCAGAAGAGTCACGTCGCTATATTACATGGAACAATATATAAAATAAGCTATATAATAAACAAAAGATAACAAGACAGTTTATATTAATTTGACACCCCAGCAGTATCATTTGAAAAGGAAATATTTGTCATGTTTTTTCAACAAGAATACACCTAAATAATTTATCATCTTGACAGTGTGGATGTTTAGCTTTTTGCAAGGTTATATTGTCACTTGAAATTTTTATGACATGATAATCTCTGAAAATACACATAAAGACATGATCGTCAATTTTGTAGCCATTCTTCTAGGTTAGGGATGCACAATTGTTTTGTATGAAGAGCCAAAAACCAAATATCATTATGAGTCACGGGCCGAAGTTTTATCATACTGCTTTACATATAAGTTGCCATGGGTAATTTCTTAATTTATTTATTTAAAATTAATAGAAAATATTACTTTGAATTATATTAACAAATGCAGTATAACTTTCTTTAATGATGACTTATTGCAATAAAAAAATAAACAATTACATTTATAACACAGTGAAGTTCAATGCTGAATACACGAGTCAAGCAGAATCAGTCTTTGTCTTAATTTGCTCTCTAAAGTTTCTGCATTTTCCTCTATTCGTTGGGTGACAGTATGTACATTTTAAACTAAATCTGATTAATTGATAACATTTGAATTAAAACATTTAATTACAGTTAGCTTTTTGTAGCTTATTAATAAAACAAACAAGTACATTACATTATTAAATTAGAATTGACCATCTCTAAAGCATCCCTATCATTCTCCCTTTCTTCTCAGAGAGCTTACCATGGCCCAGTTTTGCCCTGCAGGCCTAAGTTTGGGCATCTCTTTTTTTTTTTTAGATGAACACACTACTGTTCGAAAAAAAAAAACTGGTACAATGTGAAATATTAAGATTTTAAAATAACTTCTTTCTATGTAAATATATAAAAACACATTATTTTCTTCTGTGACACCAAAGCAAATCATTACTTTAGTCTTCACTATCTCATGATCCTTCAGTAATCATTCTAATTTGTTGATTTTACTTAAAGTTGAAACTATGGCTGCACTCTCAGCAGATGAGTAAAGTAGCTTGTAAAGAGTTAATAATTTTAGACCGATCTAGATGATATCTGCTCTTTAGGGAAGCATATCTGCATTGATTATTGTGAAAAATGACAAGCAAAGTTAAATACAACAGATACAAATTAACAGTGATTTATGGCTGTTGGACACTCAAACAGTATTCAGCAACACTAATTAAATAATAATAATAATAATAATAACTATCGTTTTCATTGAGTAAATAATTATATGATGTACAATTAATCTTTCAGCTACAGACATTTAATTTGCATACACAGTCACAGGTTAAGGTTCTAAGGTTAAAAGTTGAAATAACTCGTATGTTGTTAACTGTAATGTCCAGTCAAATATAATTCCAACTATATTGAAGTTTCCTGCAATGTGACTGTTGAGGACTCGCACGTTGCGACATCGATGCTGAAACAATATATTGTGCAGCCCTAGTAGAAACTTGCTCTATTCAAGATTTATAGATGAATAGAAACTTCTAAAAGAGCTTAATCTATTTAATTTACTGGCCAATTGACAAACATGTATTAACATCATTTCTTTACAATTCACATTTCAGCTTTCAGAAAGTAATTTTAAGATGCATAAGAGCAAATTAATTTAAAGATTAAAATCGATGCACAGAAATCTCTGCAAAATGTTTCCTTTTGTGTTCCACTGAAGAAAGAAACTTTAAAAACAAAACAAACATGTCTTTGATTGCCTGCTTTACAATGTGCACCAAATTAACAATTTGTTTCTCTTTATAGGCAACTATTGGTATAGACTTTTTGTCAAAAACCATGTACCTGGAAGATCGCACGGTAGGACCGAGATCAACATTTCTAGAATAATTTCCAATGAGTCTCTGTGTGTCCAAGCCTTTTGTCTTATTCCATTAATGGTGTGTTTGCATAAAGCCTGCTTTAGTCTAAACATCGACTGTCAGAGAGAGTTAGTACTGGTGTAATAGATGGTTTTGACACACACTGCCTCAAATCATTCACCATGGTGTTTTCTAATACCACCTGTTAGCTCTGTAAGACGTCATTATTTGTTTATTTCAAGTCTATCAGGTGATTTCACTGTCTATGTCACAGATTCATCATTTGCGTAATTCCTGGCGCATGCTTGTAGCTCATCATCATCACACGTGTGTCATTAGTTTGTGGTTTATTTTGATTTCACCTCTTTAAGTTTGGTTGTGTCTTTGTCCACCTCACCCCACTCTCTTCCATGGCTGGGTGCTGAATGGGTCCCCATGCCTGTTGCGCTGCATGGACGGTCATAGATTCGGCTACAGCTGTGGGACACTGCTGGGCAGGAACGCTTCCGTAGCCTCATTCCCAGTTACATCCGAGACTCCGCAGCCGCAGTGGTGGTCTATGATATAGCAAGTAGGTAGCTAGTGCTCCTGCTTCACCACATGGTGGGGTCAAGTTGGGTACCGCTTGAGTAAATGGCACTCGTGTTGCTCTATAAGTATGCTGGTTTAAGCGGTGTGAGAAAAAAAAATGTGAAAGGACAGTCCCCTCAATTTCAATTCAGTCATCATTTGCTTACTCGTGTTAAAGCTCCCCAAAACCTTTCTTATGTTTAAGATAAATATGTGTTTGTTTTGTCAGATAAATATTATTGAAATTTACTGTACAAGTGTTATGGTGTGTTTACATTTAGTTTTGGTTGTTTTGGTCTAACAAAATATTAGCTGTTATAATGTACATTTTGCAACAGAACTTACCAAACATCCCCAAAAATATTCTGTGTGCTGAGCAAAATGCCAGTTTCATTGATATGTTCATTCCCAGCAAGCATTTTTGTGTTTAAAAGACATTTGATAGACATCCAAAAATAGACTTCTTGGCTAAATTGAGGCTAAATTTGGACTGTCAGTGAAAATCTAACCTAACAATAGTCCAACAACAGACTAATCATCAGATTAGACAGTTCATTCCTGTCTATTTGTTGACTTATTTGTTCTTAGTTGTCTTCTAGATTTTCACTGACAGCCCAAGTTTAGCCTTGTTTTAGCCAAGATGTCAGGGTTTGGATGTCTATTAGAGCACAGGTGTCAAAGCCAGGTCCAGGAGGGCTGCAGCCCTGCACAGTTTAGTTCCAACCCTGCTCCAACACACTTAATCTGCGGTCACACTGCACTTTTCACCCCATAGACTTCTACTCATACGCATGTGAATGCGGCAGACCGGAAACGCAAGTTCGTGCTACAAGTTTTGCAGTTTGGTGCGTTGGAAAGTTCAAGCTTGGTGATGGAGCAATCGCTTGCTCTTTAAATGTCTAATCATCTTGTTTAATCAATCCCCTTTTCACAGCGCCTTACTACAGAATTTTGCATGCTCAAACTCTAGTGTTACTGCAGCATTACCTGTCGGTTTCAAACAAGCCTGAAGGACTCAATTAGTTTGATCTCCAGGAACTGGCTTTAACACTTGTGTATTAGAGCAGTGGTTCTCAAATTTTTTTTTAACAAGTACCACCTCAGGAAAAAATAGTCTCTCCAAGTACCACCATTATAACCGGTATTAAAAAACAGTAGCCTAGCAGGCCTAATTGAGCAGCTACAGCACTGCACAGTTCAAAAACAAGGCAGATTAGTTACTATTATTATGAAGAATATGTATTATTGTCAGACACTTTAAACATTATAAATAGCTTATAAATAGTAGCTTATTCGTCAAAACCTGGAAATTATGCTTGGACCTGATAAGTATAGGCTATATCGCGCGAACACACACACACACACACACACACACACACACACACACACACACACACACACACACACATTACAGAACAAACCATTGTTATCCATTAACCTGTTTAATTACCCTAACATGCTTAATTAACCTAGTCAAGTCTTTAAATGTCTCTTTAAGCTGTATAGAAGTGTCTTTAAAAATTACTGTCATCATGGCAAAGATGAAATAAATCAGTTACTTCTACTTTTCAAGCAGACTTAATTTACATCCAAGCTTCAAGTATGGCAAAGTTTGAGTCTATGTTCTGTGCCTCGTGCCATTTGAATTACATCCAAAAGAATTAGCTTAAATCTGAGGTTACAAGCTAAACCTTTTATTATTCAGCGATTCTACCACAGTGTGAGAACCACTGTATTGGAGGATTTTAAACCCAAAGTTGCCTGGAAGGTACATAAGATGGCATTTTTTAGCAAGTCAGAACTCATAAAGAGCTAATAAAATGGTTTAATTGATTGGTTGGTTGGTTGATCATTCAAACTAGCAAGTTGTGAGCACAAATTTAGCGTATTACGATTTTAAATTTGGGACTCCTTTCAAGATACTTTTAAAGGTTAAGCCTTCCTACAAAGACAAATTCAGTCAAATCAAGTCTTTGTTCCACAAAAGAAAAGTCACAAAGCATTGGAACTACATAATGATAAGTAAATGTTAACATTTTGTGTCCCATCTTTGTGTTTTTATGAGAGCAAATTGGGCTTTTACGCATATTTCAGTACAATAAACGAAATGGTCTAAACTGAAAACCGCAATACTTGTTCATACAGAGTGCCATTTGCAAAGCATCATGCAGAAAGCTGGGTCATTCAAAGAGCAGGAATGGAGAAATGCCTTCATAAAATCATTCTAATTATAAAATCCATAAGTACTGAGAACTTCAAAGCAAAAGATTGATCAATTCTGTATGTGCATTTCTCCTTTTCCTTCATGTTTTGTTTGCTTGATGTTGTCTTTTTCTTCTAACCCTGCTCCCTTGCCCTATCCTCTCTTTATATCTTTTCTCTATTCTGCCTTTCTCTTTCCTCTCCTCTCTGCACGCATCGGTTTGCTGGTCCCTCAGGTTCGGCTCCAGCTGTGGGACACTGCAGGGCAGGAGCGCTTCCGCAGCCTCATTCCCAGCTACATCCGAGACTCCACTATTGCTGTGGTGGTCTATGACATCACCAGTGAGTCCGAGCCTCACTCATTGGGTCAGCAGGGATCAATGCCTTAGGGGCACAGTTAGCACCAATCTGCAGCTGCTTCTAGGTCATGCCAGTTCATCTTAGTAAGGTTGCTTGGGAACAGTGTTAATTCAGACCAAATGTAGATTCAAGAAGCTTCCTTTTAACCATGAGCTGATCAGCATCAATATGACCTGTTCTTTAACTTAACAGTCCTCTGTTTTTTTAATCCTCACACTAACGTTCTGCTTGGATACTTTCCTCTAAGAGTGCTTGGCTTTGAAGTGAATCAGGTGTGATTTGATCACTGCCGAATTTGGATTGTGAAATTTGATTTTGAGTTATTCAATCAAGGAAATCAGTTTGAGCAGATCACAAGACTTTTAGCGAGTCCATATAACGTTTTCCCCTTTTGTTTCTTCAGATCTTAACTCTTTCCAGCAAACCTCAAAGTGGATAGATGATGTCAGAACAGAGAGAGGAAGTGATGTTATTATCATGTTGGTTGGCAACAAGACAGACCTGGGTGATAAAAGGTAAACAAATCAGAGAAGACTGATGAAGCTTTTTGTTTGTCTCCCAGACATCTCACTTTTAAGTTGTTTTATTCCGTTTTCTCGTTATCATTATTTTAAGTGTTATGTTGATTAATTTGTTTCTGTTCAGTCATAGTTTCTCTTGTGTTGATTTTTATTTTTGATTTGCCATTACTCCCTTTTGTTTTTCATATTCATTCTAATTTGCACTGTTTCCACACCTGCACTATGGACTATGGCAGGCAAGTGTCAGTAGAGGCAGCAGAGAAAAAAGCTCGGGAACTGGGGGTGATGTACATAGAGACCAGCGCCAAAGCTGGCTATAACGTCAAACAGGTGGGTGACACCATACAGCTGTAGTGTAGGCCAAAGTTTTCTCATTTCTACAACACAATCTGTGGCATGATGACCAATGTCCACCGAAAATTCATTTGGACTCTGTATTTAAATGGTAAAAACAAGCAAAACACAATTACAGCAGCAAGATTATAGTGAATACCTGTCAAGCAAACATGCATCACCTTTAATAAATGCTTTCAACAGGGTATTACTGTATTTTCAAAATATAACTCTGAAGCAGGGGTATCAAACTCAGTTCCTGGAGGGACCCAGCCCTGCACAGTTAAGCTCCAATCCTACTTCAATACACTTACCTAGAGGTTTAAAACAAACTTGAAAGACTCAGTAAGTTTGAGCTTGTGTGGGGATCTAACTAATCTGTGCAGAGCTGCGGCCCTCAAGGAACTGAGTTTGACACCTGTGCCCTGAAGTCATATTTTGACAAAACTTTGCAATGTTTGGAGCACAAATTATTACACAGCAGGCACATTTGAACCAAACCGCTTTCAGTTGGTCAATGGCTCAAGTTCGACTTAAACTATTGCAAAATCTTGTATTTTTAATGTGTTGTAATGTTTTCATGCTCACTCAAATCTGGTACATTACTTTTTTAAAATTACTTATTGACATCTAAATTAAAAATCACACACTCCCACCCCCCCTTTTGTGACATTTTTCTGTTTTTTGACTACATACCAGCCCTGTTGGTTTTTATTTGCTCAATGATAACACCACAGAATGTGGATCATCACAATCACCACTCCTGCTGCCATAGAATTCTGCAAAAAATAGTCACTGAATTACATTTCCAACCTATTTTTACTGTTTTTATTACACATTTGCCCTGTTGATTATACTTAAAGTTAATGATAAATTTTTTCATATTTCATCACATCTAAATTCATTCTGCACTCATGCTGCAACACTTTGGGCTGGGGGCGGTCGAATCAGTGCAGAAAATTTACAAATACCACAGATTCTATCTTGTTCTGAGCATCGCTATATATACAGTTGTTGAAGAAGTACACAAATTATAACTTCGCTTTTGTTTATTCCTCTAGTAAAATTTTCAAGTACTCCTTTAAAAATGCTGTATGTAAGTTTTTTACTCTTCTGAAGCATAAAAATACCATAAAATGTTTGCAGATATTTAAGTAACATGCTAAGTGAACATAGAGTGCTTGTTTATCTGAAAAACAATGCTGAAGTTAGATATTCTGCTTTGAAAATGTGCATTATGTGCCTGAACGTCTGTCTTTGTTTTGGTTCTTTTAACCTGCCCAATGCCCGTTTAGCAAATTATATTTTAACACCCTGGGTTGCCTTGGTGTAAGACAGCGTATTTCATTCAGTCAGTCAGGAAGGCTTTCCAAGCAAGCATCCGTAACCGGAATATGATCTCCGGTGGACAGTAGCAGACTCTGAAACCAGATGCAGATTTAGAGTTCTACATGAGGTTATTAACGATCAAATAATATAAATATTACAAGTGTAAACATTAGGTGTGCAGGTTACATTGTAACCCTTTGCCCTAACAACATGCTGTTTGCACCAGACAAAACATGACAGAAATTTAAATGCAGCCATTCAGAAGCACAGAATAGTGCACTCACTGCACTCCAGCATAATGGTAAGGTTCATAGTCTAATTAATAAATATTAAACCTCTTTAACAAAATTAAATGTAGATGCCGTATCACTGATGTGTGTTGGTGAGTCACAGTTCTAAAGTTTTCAATTTGTGTTTGTGAGTCACAGTTCTAAAGTTCAATTTTAATTTAAGTTCAAATTTAGTTCAATAAATGTGATGTAAAATAGCAAACTCACATTATTAGCAATAATGCTAATAATGTGAACAAAGCACATGAGTTGTACCTGAGGTAATCATTGTCAGTTTTCTGTTGTTCAGCTGCAGGGAATAGAAGCCGTTTTTAATTTATCAATTTCAGGTGTTGGTAAGACAAAAACTCATTTTAATATGGAAAATATTCCTTCTATCATGTACCGTTACTTTTGTTTAGAGCATGACTTAAATCAGCCTTTAGCTTGATAGTCAGGCACACTCCAGTTCATGTTGTCAATCTAGCAACATGCACTTGCATGTATTTTGAGACTGGAGTGCAATATCTAGTTCAACCACTGTGTGTCAAACTTACATACTGCACTTTTAAATGCACAGTAGAGAAGTACAGAAGTTTGATGTAAATAAGTAAAAGTAATAGCAGCTGATTTCTGAATGGATATTTAATTTTGTAGAAAGAAAACATTACCAAACTTATTATTTACCACCCAAAGTTATCAGTTAAGATTATTATGACTTCTCCAGTTAAAATTAACCAGTAGGGACATGGTTCATGTAATGAAGTAAAACATTCTCACGGTAGAAATACTGGAGAGATACTTGAGAGATGGACTTATAATAAATGTACTGTAAGAAGAAGGACATGACTGTGAGTAAATCATGGCAGAATATTTATGCATGGGTGAACTTTTTGAACTGAAAATTATCAAGGGATCTTGAAATGACCAAAGTGCTGATGACATTATCATCACCTCCCTTGACACTGTGTTCATGTTTGTCTTCGAGCAACAAATGTGTTTCCTGTGAACAGCCTTTTGTTGAACCGCAGTGCAATGATCTCCATAAGTTCCAAATGTCAGCCGTTTCTCAACTCTTTGGGGTCTATCAAAACACTAATTTCTGTTTTTCTCCTTTTACTAATGTGAACTTTGGTCAGTCTCTGTCTCTTTTTTTCTTCTTCTTGATAAGTTCCTCTTGTCTGTATTTCTTTCCTTTCCCCGCTCCTTTCTCTGGCCGAGCAGACAGATTACCACGGAGGAGGGCGAGCAGAGGGCTAAGGAACTGAATGTCATGTTCATTGAAACCAGCGCAAAGACTGGCTACAATGTCAAACAGGTAGAATCATTGAGATCCGAGGACGGCCAAGCTCTACCTTCTTTTCACCACGGTTTTCTTCTGCTGTCTTTGGTTTCCATCTTTCTCTGCCTCGCCCGTCAATAGCCTCACATTCACAGGGGTCCTGTGCTGTTGGGCTGCTTATCTGTCTTTTTTGTTTTGTTTCATCCACTTAAAGCCATGTAATACCACAAATGTCCTGTGCATGTCAGCCTTAGATTATTCTGCTTAATGTGCCATGTTGTTAGACCTCTTGCAACTCACAGGCTGGATGTAGATGTTTTGATTGGTTTTTGATTGGCTGATTTGCTTTAAGCATCTGAGTAGGTTTTGAGGCCCCTTTTTTGTCATTGTCATCTGAAATGCACTGTTTTACCTCAATGTCAACAGAGAGTTATAATTGGTTTTGAAAAAGGGGAGACTGGGAGTAGTTAGTTATGCATAAAAAAGTTGTCATACGAGTGACAATTCAATGCATATGTGTAAAGAAAATATTTTATTGAGAGAGGATGTAATAAAGTGACTTTTATGGTGTCAAAAATATTTTAGTTTTAAATAAAGGCCTGTTTTCTTGGAAATGATCATGATTTCTACCTAATTAATAAGCAGCACATCTGTTTTCAAAAGGAATTTAATTTATATTTGTCATTTATTCATAAATTATATATACATATAATGTTACTTTATATATATATATATTTTTTTTATACACTTGATTTATTACAGTTTTTGCTAACCAAATTTTAGCTGATCGTATCTTGACTTTTGTAATATTTTTATAGTTTAAATACACCTGAACTTGTTTTAAGGCACTTCCGTTGATTGTCACACAATACTGTCATATTGTCTTAGAGCAGTTTCAGTGGAAATACTTGTGTCATAGACTTTAAAGAATGTTTCAACAAATGAATCAACCTTAAAAACCTAACCTGAGAAATACAGACTGAAAAATTGTGACAACTACACCAAGTCTCCCCTTCTACTAGGACAGATTCATTTAAGCACATTTTGCTAAGGCATTCGAGATTTTAGTCTCTAATGAACTTTTTTTTCTCTAGCTGTTTCGTCGTGTTGCTGCTGCTTTGCCTGGAATGGATAGTACACCAGAGAAGAGCAAAGAGGACAGTATCCTTCACATGCAACATAAGGGGGGTTCTGACCGTTATGAAATCATTTGTATTAAGATGTCAGAATCCGTTTGTCCACAACTGCCTGACCACACAAGATCAAGAACAATTTTGTGTTTCTTTTTTATAAGCTTTAAACCAAAATAAATCATAACAAATATTAAAAATAGCATTTTTCTCACAGAAATATATATATATATATATATACATACATACATATACATATATATTTGGCATTTGTACCCAGTTGAGTACACCTTTTGAATTCTACTGATAACACAAATGTGGCTCTGGACTACAAAACCACAGAAAGTCATAAGTTGCACGGATTAATTTGTTGGAATAGCCAAAAATACATTGTATGGGTCAGAATTATTATTTTTTCTTTTATTCCTTAAATTATTACATTATTATGTAAAAATCATGTTCCATGAAAATATTTAGTCAATTTCCTATTATGAATGTATCAGAACTTCATTTTGGTTAGTCATTCGCATTGTTTTTAAAGACTTGACATGTAATATTTCACTTTTTTTTGCACCCTCAGATTCCAGATTTTCAAATTGTTAAAATATATTATTCTATCATAACAAGCCAAACATTATTAAAGAGCTTTTTTATTTTATTTATTTATTTTTTTTTTAGCTTTCAGATGATGTATGTTTTTAATTACATGTATGACTGGTTACGTGGTCCAAAGTCACATATGTGTGTATGCTCTTTAAACCCCAAAGGTTGTGTGCGATATGGAGAACAATATGGGACAAAAAGCGTTTTAATGTATTAAAATACACTTGCATACTCGCACTGTGTTAGCGATAATAATATAATGTGAATAGCCTGATTTTTTTTTTAAACAAATATAGAAAAATTGTGATCGTCAACAGTCACAGTTTGAGTGTCAAAACGGCCAAATACAGCAAATTTCGAGACTATTTGCATATGACACATAATGCTAATACTGTCAATACGTATGCTAACCACCTTAAGATGATCAGCTGTTAATGTTGACGGCCAATTTATTTTGGCCCTAATGTCCTTCTATATTGATACATCAAGCTCTTAAAGACAAAAAAAATGTTTGTTACTGTATGCCCTAGATTATGCATAAAAATCTAACTTTATTTTGACCTTAAATGAAAATTACAAATTGGTTTGCGTTTTTATTTATTTTTTGTTGTCCTGAACGTAAAAGAAGGTATGCTGAAACCTGTAACCACTGACTTCCAGAGAAGCAGTAACAAATTCAGTGCAAGTCAGTGGTTACAGGTTTCCTGCATTCTTAAGCATATCTTCTTTTGTGTTGGACAAAACCAACAAAATAAAACTTGTTTTGAGTAAGAGTGAGTAAATGATGACAGAATTTAATTTCAGGGTGAACTATCCCTTTTCAGACATGTTTATTAATATCACCCAGTACTTTCCCACTTACAGATCCTTAATCTAAACCCTCAGTGATCGACATCAAACTGGAGAAGCCTCCGGAGTTGCCCGTTACCGAAAGCAGCTGCTCGTGCTAGTAAACCACCCTCATCCCCCAGCAGGCCCTACGCCCCCCCTCCCACTCAACCCCCTCTCACACACACACACAGCTTGCCTCTCAGTGGTCACTCACTCCTCTCACGGCCCCATGTCACGAGCCAAGAACCCTTTCTTTCTCTTCGACTCGGTGACTTCTCAGAGTAACCGTGTGGATGTGCTACAACTCTGAATTCAAACGGATTCCAAAACATGTATAATAATGGGGGGAAAACGTAAATCAAAGCATATTTTAAATGCGAAAAATCTGTTCTGGCTGCATGGCATTAAATGGGACTGCAGACTGACATAAGCTCATATGCTCTTGAGTTTTCACACATCAGTGCTGTCATAGTCATTGTGAAGTGTTTCAGAGCCTGGGCTGATGTCCTCTTGTTTTTTTAAGGGCCTTTTTAAGAAATTACACTGGAGGAAAAGGTTGAGATTGTTGTGTTGAGAGGCTGTAAACTTCTGTTACCAAGTTGTTTTGTTTTTTAAACACACTATTTTGTTGGCAGAAGTTATTTAATCTGATTTTGAAATGGTCATATCATTAATATTCTGTATAATTGGGTGTTTTTTTTTGTGTTATAAGCGGTATTAGGGACCAGCTATCAGTTAAAGGTCTTTTTGTTTCAAGAAAGATTCACGTTCGGCCAATAATTGAGCAGTTTTGTTTACGAGAGAGGTCTCATTCGAGAACAGGCTGATTTTATATTCGGAGGGTTGCATGGAGGTCGAATGTATTGAGTTGTGAGGGGGGGGATTTTGGATTTAACATTCTTAGAAAAGGGAAAAATTGCTTTGTAAACATATTTTTATTTCATCAAAACTAAAAGCCTAAGATATTTAATGACTTATCCACAACTTTAATGGTAAAAACAAACCCTGTATGTACTAACAAAACTATGGTAACTGAGCTTGGATATGGAAAGCATCAGCAATTCACACTAATTCCACTCATCATTTTCTGCCTTGTTTTTGCTGTGCGAGTGTAGGAGCAGCATGCAGTTTAGAGACGGTTTAACACAAAATTGCCTTGCTTGTTTTGTTGTCATAGTGCACCAGATCAGGCCGCAGCGCTGTGCTTTGCTCCAGCCTGTTAACATTGCATAGAGCTAACGAGTTTTTGAGTTTGGGATGTTTCGATTTCCTCTTTCGACACGGCTATCGCTTGGTGTACAGACATGTCTTAGTATTGCTTGTCGTAAGACTGTTGGTTTCATGTGTTTATTTATTATCTCACTAGTTAGTGAAAGTGTGTCGTATGCTTGACAGGAATGGCAGCAATGTGCAGGAATCAAAGGTTGATGTGTAATTTGCATTGCTGCCTGGCTACTGTATCGCAAAAACCTGCTCATGTCACTCTCCTCTTGCCACAAGTCCCATCTGTAACGCTGGGTTTCTTCAGTATAGCTTGAGTGGGCTTTTATTTGCTGGCGGAAACCCCTCAGCACTGTCGCTTTTCCTCTCATTCGACGGCAAATCCTGAAAAACAAGGGCATCAGGTGCGTTTTAAACGTTAACATTTAATATGGTTTGATTATGTAAGAATTGACATAAGAGTGAAAACCCTCCTGAACAGCTCTGTCACTCGTCACTGACTGAATACTCAGCTGTGTGCTCTTCTAAAGTGTGTTGGTCTGTTTGAAATACGCTGTCTACTAGTGTTTAGCAAAGTTTGTGTGAACAAAGTACTATTATTATTATTATATGCTGTAAAAAATGGAAGGTTAAAGAGACACCAAATGTATCACATGAATAAAAGATATTTCACCAAGCTTTGCTCTTAGTCTTGGTTCCTGTGGGGTTGGATGTTATTAACATTCATTCATTCATTTACTTTTCAGCTTAGTACCTTTATTCACTACATCGGAATGAACCGCCAACTTATCCAGCATATGTTTTTTACACAGTGGATGCTCTTCCAGCTGCAACCCATCAATGGAAACACCCATACACTCTCATTTACACTTGTACACAATTTAGCTTTTCCAATTCACCTATAGTGCATGTCTTCAGACTTTTGAGGGAAACAGCATCCAGAGGAAACCTCTGTGAACACAAGGAGAACATTCAAACTCCACACAGAAATGCCAACCAACCCAGCCGAGGCTCAAACCAGCAACCTTCTTGCTGTGAGGCGACAGTGCTACCCACTGTGTCACCTTATTATTAAGATTCTCCATGTATTATTATGTAATTACATCACACAATCATTGGCAGTCAATTTCATGAAATACATAGTGATTGTCAGGAGTGGATTTAACCAATATGTGAGGTAACCGCTTAGGGCCCCGGGAAATTAGGGGGCTGCGACCAATGCCAAGAAGCCTACGTATATTAATCATCCTTAAACTATTTTATTTTATTTTTCTATTAGATGTTGTAAAATCTGTCTATAACCATTACAATTTCAATTATATTCTTTTCTAAACTAGGGGGCCCCATGAATAGTAGAACGTTCCTTCTGTACTGTATGAAAATTTAATCACAAATCACAAATATGGCTGATTAACTGTACATAGTTTGTGAGCTTGCTTTTTATTTGCAAATTTATTGTATTTAATTTTGAACTCAGAAGGTTCTGTTCTCCCTGTGTTCGCATGGGTTTCCTCCGGGTGCTCAAGTTTCCCCCACAAGCCCAAAGACGTGGTACAGGTAAATTGGATAATATGAATTAGCTGTTGTGTATGTGTGTGAATGAGAGTGTAGGGTATGGGTGTTTGTTTCCCAGTGATGGGTTGAAGTTGGAAGGGCATCCTCTGTGTAAAACATGCTGGATAAGTTTGCAGTTCATTTCGCTGTGGCGACCCCTGGTTAATAAAGGGACTAAGCCGAAAAGAAAATGAATGAATTAAGAAGGTTCCACTTAAAATTTATATTTAACATGCAATTTATTCATAAAAAAACTGAATCTAGAGGTAAAACAAATGAGAAAGAAGAGTGTTTTAAGTTTTAAGGCCCCCTAAATCATTGTCCGCCCCTGTTGATTGTAATATCTCACTCAATTTTGCATTAGAGGAGAGACGCGCATTATAGTTTTACATACTAATAATACAATGAAAGCTTGCCTCTGATTAAAATGTGCTTTTTTACTTTATAAATATGCTCTTGAACAAATTACTGATTAACCTTTCATCTAAAGTTGTTATAAAGAAGATCCACATTTCTTGTTACTGTTTAATTTTAGCTATATATTAATTTTTTTCCTTTAAAATGCAAGATTGATGGTAAAAGTTTACTATGCGCGAATAACTATGTGTGAAGATTTCATGAACACTAAGTTTCTCAATTTGATTGATTATAAGGTGTGAATTTAAACGTTGTCACTAAGCAGTTTTTCCCAGAAAATAAGGGGTCAGAATAATAAAAAAAATATATATTTTTAATGGCAGCATGGTGGTGCAGTGGGAAGAACTCTCGCCTCACAGCAAGAATGTCGCTGGTTCTAGACCCTGGTTCTAGACATTTCTGTGTGCAGTTAGCATGTTCTCTCCATGTTCGCCTAGGTTTACTTCGGATGCTCCTGGATCCCCCACAGTCCAAAGACGTGATATGGGTAAATTGGGTAAACAACATTTTCTGTTGTGTATGTGTAAGAGGATACGGGTGTTTCCCGGTGTGGGGTTGCAGCTGAAAGCGCATCACTGTGTAAAACATATGCTGGATAAGTTGGTGGTTCATTCCGCTGTGGCGACCCCTAAAGAATAAAGGGACTATGCTGAAGAAAAATGTATGAATGAATTAACTTGATTTTGCATTGGGTGACATTTGAATTCTGATTCACTTTTTATCAAAACCTGTTGCTAAGAAGATCCAAACTTCTTGTAAATGATTAATTTTAGCTATATATTCACCTTTTTCATTTAAAATGCAAGATTGTTGGTAAAAGTTTACTATGTTTGAATAAATGTTATTAAGGCACTACATGAACACTGTTTCAATGTTATGGATTATTAGGTATGAAACACATCACTGCAGTTTTTCCCAGAAAATAAGGGGTCAAAATAAGATTAAAAATAATATTTTTGTGTGATTGAAAATCAAGATTATTTAAAAAGTCTTCTTATGTTCTTAAGGAACTGATATTGAATTGTGTGTGTGTGTAAACTGTACTTAAATAGGCCAGATTTGTGGTATATATATATATATATATATAAATATATATATTGTTGTTACACTAAGTAGACAAAAGACATATTGGTGGGTATCTCTATGTGCCGTATTATTAAATATTAACGACAGGCATTATTGTTTTTTCCTCAGATGGCCTAATACATCTTATCTAACAAAGTAATTCTCAGTTTTTAACTCAAAGTGCTTCGTCCATTCACTGTCTCTGCCATTGGTACCATCCAGTCTGTCCGACACAATGAGTTTCCTCTCGGTGATTATTTTGAAGGGTTTCGGTGGGTGAACTCTGGGCGGTGTTCTCAGCTCGTTGGGATTCAGTTATGAATTAATCATGTAAATCGAATCAGTGAGACCACTGGACCCACACCTGAATGACCCATCAATATGGGCGTTTCGACACACCCGGTTTGTGGCAGTTTGTCTGCAGTATTTCTTGAGTATAAATCAACGTAATGTCATTGTGTAAAATCACTGTCGTTCAGTACTGCTGGCTGCGCTCTGCTGGTTTTGTAACACGAATACACCTGTCCTACTTCCGGAAGCAGTGACGAGATTTTTCCACGCGCTTACGTCGACGCCAGGTAAGGAATTTGCGAAAAAATCTTGTCGAGCTTGAAATGTTAATCTGACTGCGACTACAATAAGCGCTGCTCATACTGAACAGAGACCAGAGATATCGAGTCTTGACACAAGCGACATCCCTCAGACGAATCTTGTACTTTCGCTGTGATTTTCATTGGTGAAATTGTCTTTTTAGAATGTCTCGCGGTTCAGGAATCCTTCCAGATGAATCCATGTTCGCTGAGTTCAAGAGACAATGCTTGTCTACGGAGAATTGGGTCAACAAGTATGATAAAAATGACATGGAGGTTTGGGTCGAGCAGGCCCCTTTATCTGCTTCGATTAACAACAAAGGAAACTACAGCAAAGTGCACAAAATCAGGGTAAGATGTTTGCCTACGTCTAATCAAACTGTTTATAGTGTGTGTGTGTGTGTGTGTAGGATTTTATATTGTTAAAGAGTACCTTAAACAGATTTTCAGCCTTTATACATATCAATATAATTGTTATTGATGAAGAAAATAATAAACTTTAGTAGTAGAAGTGACATAGCTACAGTACACCATAGTCTTATAGTGAGTTAGACATATATTATAAACAATTAAGTAGATTTTACTCAAAATATTTTATTTTCTGCATCGCATATATTAAATTTCAGTTTATTTACATGTCATGTGTAGCTACTGCTGCCATAACAACACACATGCAAATGCCTTTGTTTCCAATACAGTGTCAAATAAACATAAAGGATGTATCTGCTGCCACCATGTATGATGTTCTTCATGACGGCCAATACCGGAAAACATGGGACCCTACCATGCTGGAGAGTTTTGACATCGCCCGTCTGGCTCACAATGCTGATGTGGGCTACTATTCATGTGAGTCACGTGTTCAGTGTTGAAACTGTAGCAGTTTGAAACCTTATGTTGAGAGTTATTCTATAATGTTTGATGATAGTTATTTGAATAGTCCTCAAGCTCTTGTTCTTCTAATGTGACTGCAGTAACGGCTGAAGATAAGGCTCCTGGGAGCATGTTTTTGTGTGTATTTATAGTCAACACCAAGATAGCTTTGTTCCTCTTTTTTTCTTTCCCAGTCAGTAAAAGCTATTTATAGACCTACGGGCTGTAAAAAGACTTTTTTTTTCTCCTTAATTCACAGGGATTTGTCCGAAACCATTGAAAAACAGAGATGTGGTGACCCTGCGCTCATGGCAGGCGTCTGAAAATGAGTATGTGATCATTAACTTCTCAGTGAAACATCCGGTACGTCTTTTATTTGCTTACACCTTCTTTTATCATTATGCACAGTCATAAATAGGTTGTGGACTTAAAATGAGAAAAATAATGACTTTCAAACAGATTTCAACCCATAAAACTTATGTCAATTTAAAAATATTCTAACACTGAGTATTTTAAACATTTTATTTTCATTAATTAGAATTTGATTGGTCATTTTGAGATGCACCATTTTATTGTTGTCAATGTTATTGCCAGATTTTTGATCAATTTATTATTTTTTGCATATCAGCTAAAGCTTGAAAAATGCTTGTTTAACAATAAACAGAGTACACTGTAAAACCCAAAAAGTTAAGGTAACTCAAACCGTTTGAGGAAACCGGCTGCAACAACCCATTTAAGTTCAAAAACTAATCCTAATGAGTACTGTGAAGTTAATCCATTTGAGTAAGTGAAGCAATTCGAGCACAGTAAAACCCGATAAATGAATAGAACTCAAACCAACTGAGTACTGTAAAACCTAATAAGTAAAGGCAACTCAAACCGTTTGAGGAAACCAATAGCTACAAACAAGTTAAACTGATCTATATGAGTGCAGTGAGCTTACTCCATTTAAGTTGAAGTAATGAGGTATTTAAATGACTCATTACCTTCAACACTGAGTTCAAAACTCTTTTCAAATGAGTTTTATTAAAAGTATTTTCACGTTTTGTGTAATCTGTTGAGAAGTTGGTAACAACAGCCAGTAAGTTGTTGGCAATAAAACTAAAGAGCATTGATGGTAAATGCAAAGAAAGAAAACTAATTAAGGCTGCCATAATTGTCAATGACTACGTTCACATGG